GCTGCCTGGGACTTTATAGTAGCCCAGGAATGAAATTTACACTATATTATATATTTGAATAGTCCCCGTATTGCAAATGGGGTATGTCCAGTCTATTTGTAGTCATTGTCACAAACACTGGCCAAAGTTAGCGTTAGTATTTGTTTGTGTGAAAAATGCAAAAAACGCCAACTTTGGCCAGTGTTTGTGACTAAGTGGCTACTTAAAAAGGCTGACATACACCGTTTGCAATACCTTTGGGTTGTCTACTATTGCAAATGGTATGCCATCATAGGGGTAATTTTCATTCTTGGGCTTCCATAGGGTCTCAAAGGCACCGTAACCAATCTGGCGAATTTTAATGTGAAAAAAATGAAACGCAAGCCTTATATTTGACGCTGTAACTTTTGAAAACACCATAAAACCTGTACATGAGGGGTACTGTTATACTCGGGAGACTTCGCTGAACACAAATATTTGTGTTTCAAAACAGCAAAAAGTATCACAGCAATAATATTGTCCGTGTAAGTGCTGTTTGTGTGTGAAAAATATCCTGTTAGGGTACTGGTCCGTTGGGACTAAGCAACCAATGGGATGCCAATACGTCTTTAGAGACTGACCGTTAGCCCTGATTCCCTGGAACTGTTTTGGGCATAGGACGATGTGCACGGTCAGTCAAAAGTATGACTTCCATTGAAATCTCAAACTCCTGAATCGATCTGGGGGATTTTTGATATGTTAGTCTCGTATCTCTCGTGGAGGAATTGTGTTAGGATTTTATATATCTTTGAGGATATAATTTTATTGATACATGATTATCGGAGAAAGGCTATAGGAAAGAAGTGAGTATTAAAGTCTTTTATGAGGATAAAATGAAGATATTAATCAAGAGTTGTGAAAGGTAGATTTGATGTGGCATTCTCTCAACATTCTAAATCTCTAGCCAGAAGGCAAGTTCAATGAAAGTGCTGTTTATTACGTAAAGTGTTGGGTTTTTGTCTACTCCAAGCTTGCCAGACCTCATCAAGGTTTCTATTCAATCTGGCGGCTAAATCTTCCATGTTTCAAAATTTGAAATACCATTTTTTTGGTAATACATATGCAGCCTGCCGTCCAAATTTTGATACAAAGCTTAAAGTATTTAGGATTCACATAAGAGGAATTCAAATTAGTATTTAGAAGGGCTAGTTCCGGTACAGAGTTAACAGTTGTTTCTAGCATTTCACTAATCTATATTATTATTTTCCAAAAGTTGGCGATTAAATTATATTCCAACCACATGTGGAAATATGTACCTAGTTCTGAACATCCCGTTTACAATTCGGTGATCTAGATAGCTAAATGTGATGAAGACTCACAGGCTCTAAGTACCAGCGTGATATCGACTTTCCACCATTTCCATTTATTTCAGTACAGCTGGATGTTTTCTGATTTCTTTCCAAGATTTTCCTCCATTCTTGGGTGTCAATTTTCCTGTCTATATCTCACTCCCATACTTCTTGGAAGCAGTTTTTTTCAATATGGATAGTGTGAAGCATAGATCGTATACCTGATATCAAAGGGACACTATAGTCACCAAAGCAACTTTAGCTTAATGAAGCAGATTTGGTGTATAGATCATGCCCCTGCAGTCTCACTGCTCAATTCTCTGCCATGATCTATACACCAAAACTGCTTAGTTGAGCTAAAGTTGTTTTGATGCCTATAGTGTCCTATCAAAACAACTCTAGCTTAATGAAGCAGTTTTGGTGTATAGATCATGCCCTGCAGTCTCACTGCTCCCTTTCGTTTCTGTGTATGCAGCCCTAGCCTCACCTCCCTGCCTGTGACTTACATAGCCTACATGGAAATGTTCATTTTCAACCAGATATTAACTTGCTTTAGAAGTTTTTATATCCTGCTCTGTAAATTGAACTTTTCTCACACACACAGGAGGCTGCAGGGTCAGTCTCTAGAACAAAGGAAGGCAACCTGCAATACTCCAGAAATTGTATAGACTACTTGTCCGCTGATGCTTTGCTAGCCTTTTGGCTGCAAGAGCATTAAAGTAGATGTGGTCCATAACATCTGGAGTGCCGAAGGTTGACTACCATTAGTCTAGAAGGCTATTGACAGCGTAGGAGATAAGAAATTTTGAATTAGAATATGTAATAAAGGAAGTTTATACATTAGATCTCTCTGTACAGGAAGTGATTAGGAAGTCTGTGTTAGTCACATGCAGGGAGGTTTGGCTAGGGCTGCATAAATTAAATGATTTAACTCTTTGTAACAGGTCCCCTATACTCCGGCAGAGTATATCTGCTGTAAGTCTCCCAAATCCCAGGTGATGCAGTGATTATAGCTCCTGGTTCCAAACAGTGTAGTGATTAGAGCTCTCCAATCCCCCAAACATGAGCCTAGACTTCATGAAGGAGTAAAACCAATGTGTTTAATGGGAGCCACACACAGCCTTTTATGTAACTCCCCATACAAGGGGTTTCCTTAATCATATTCCAGGGGCATTCCCCTCTGGACCTGAGAGGGAACTAGTTACAAGCAAACATTCCACACACTCCTCCCCTGTTCCTGAGAGATAATTACCCAAGCACACAAACATATAATTAAAGGACCACTATAGTCACCCAGAATACATCAGCTCAATGAAGTGGTATTGGTGCCAGGTCCCCCAAGTGTTAACCCTGCAGCTGTAAACATAGCAGTTTTAGAGAAACTGTTATGTTTACATTGAGGGTTAATCCAGCCTCTAGTGGCTGTCTCCCTGACAGCCCCTAGAGGCACTTCTGCGACGCTCAATGCGAAAATCGCATTGAGCACGCAGAACGTCCATAGGAAAGCATTGAGCAATGCTTTACTATGGGCAGTTTGAATGCGTGTGTGGCTCTGGCGGTGCATGCGCATTCGGCTCCACTGGGAAGCTGACGTCAGAGGGGGAGGAGAGGTCACCAGAGCCAAGAGAGTTTTAACCTCTTCATCCCAGCGGGAGGGGGGCCCTGAAGGTGGGGGGGACCCTTAGGATTGTATAGTGCCAGGAAAACAAGTTTGTTCTCCTGACACTATAGCGGTCCTTTAAATTATCTCTCAGGTACAAAAACATACAATATAACAAAACCCCCAAATCACATGAAAACCACACAAAGTTACATCCTCTGATTTGACCGATCGTACACATGATTCTTTGCCCAAAACAGTTCCAGGAAATCAGGGCTAATGGTCGGTCTCTTTCGGAAGCACAAAAGTACATAAAAGACCAAACGGAATCCTTAAGTTACTTGTGTAGCCTGTTGGTTCCCTTGTTCGTGGGAATGTTTCCACCGAACAGTGCCTTTCTGATGGAAGTCCATCGGTGTTCGTGAGTTTCTGTGTCCAATTTTGGTTCTATGATATTTATGTCCAAACACTGATGCCTGCGTTCGCGGGAAAAGATGGCCGCCACCTCGTGGTCATTCATATGAAATGCGGCCACCCAGACAAACAATTAGAACACTGCAGTGGAAATTGCTACAAAGTATAAATTGGGCTTAACAAGCCCCCGGGTGGTCTCTGGTTTGTGCGACTGTTCGGTTCCCGAACAATATAAGCTAAATTGCACAAACCAAGCCTTTTTTTCAGTGTATTTTGCATTGCCCATAATCCTGTGGCTGGAGGCTGGCTAGGAGCCCTTGACAAGGTTCGGCTTGTCACACTCCTAAACGTCAGAGAAATGAGCATTGAAACTGCAGGGGCATGATCTTTACATCAAAACTACTCTATTAAGTAAAATACATTAGGGTCTTGTTTGGTTGGGGTTTCTTTGGTATCGATCCTCCTGTGTCTTTTAGAGTGAGTGTTTGGATTGGATATATAAACTGGATTTCCAGTTGAAGGGATTTGTGATTTCAAGTTAATATGCAGAGGTCTCAAGAATTCATCCTTATATAATGAGTATAGTAAATAATATTCAGTGTATCATAGTCAGTGTAATACGCAGTATATACAATAGCTTGTGTAAGTACACAATGTATATAATAGTACGGTCAGTATAATATCTAGTTTAGTTAAGGCTGTATAGTCAGTATAATACACAGTATATTATAGTCAGTATAATACACAGTATATTATAGTCAGTGTAATACACAGTATATTATAGTCAGTGTAATACACAGCTTAATATAAGTTGTATGATAGTCAGTATAGTATATATTAGGCTGTATAATACCCAGTATATTATAGTTTGTATGATATGAACTTCCATATTAGTTGAGCAGTATTATATAGACTGAATGTCAGTGAGAATATAATATAGACTGTATGATAGTATAATATACACCGTATAACAGTCAGTATATAATATAGACTGTATTATAGTATATTATAGACTGTATAATAGTATAATGCTTAGTAAAATATATACTCTATGTCAATTATTATATAATATAGACTGTATGATAGTATCATTTAGACTGTATGTCAGTCAGTATATAATATAGACTGCATGATAATATAATATAGACTGTATAATAGTATAATACTCAGTATAATATATACTTATGACAGTCGGTACATAATATAGACTGTATGATAGTATCATTTAGACTGTATGTCAGCCAGTATATAATATAGACTGTATAATAGTATAATATAGACTGTATGGCAGTCAGTATATAATATAGTCTGTATAATAATATAATATAGACTGTATGACGGTCAGTATATAATATAGACTGTAAAATAATATAATATAGACTGTATGTCAGTCAGTATATAATATAGACTGTATAATAGTATAATATAGACTTTATGTCAGTCAGTATATAATATAGACTGTATAATAGTATAAAATAGACTGTGTAATATAGACTGTATGTCAGTGAATACAATGTGAACTCAAGCTGTTCTGAAGGTTCTAAATCTATGAAAACAGCATCCCCTGTCAGATAAGAAGGGACGCTTCACCGCCGCGCATTGATACACAGAAAGCAACCCGATACAAGACGATTTCGGAATTCTTAGCAGCTATTTACCCAGACTGAATCCTAACATCACCCCTGCCATGCACCCACCCCAAATCCACAATTTAACTCGGCGAGTGGGGTGCGAGACAAGCGTTTAACCCACGGACTATTTGACCCCGGCGCGGCAGGCTGTGAGGGCTCTGAGTGTGTGAGGTGACGGAAGGGGCGGAGCCTGGCGGCTGGGTGCATGGCAGTGAGGAGGCCGCAGCCAGGCTCGGCGGCAGCACAGTGTGAGCTCCTCTCCTCCCCCTATCACAGGCTATCACTGGCTATCCCAGGCATGGCCGACCCACCGGGGCCCAGCCACCACCCCCCACCGCGGCTCGAGTCAGGTAACCCGGCCCGCCTACCGCCTGGACCCCGCTAATATACAGTCACTGACACTATATATAATGTATGGGGTGTGTTATACAGAGAGCACAGCTAATACACAGTCACTGTCACTTTATATAATGTATGGGGGGTGTTATACAGAGAGCAGAGCTAATACACAGTCACTGACACTTTATATAATGTATGGGGGGTGTTATACAGAGAGCAGAGCTAATACACAGTCACTGACACTTTATATAATGTATGGGGTGTTATACAGAGAGCAGAGCTAATACACAGTCACTGACACTTTATATAATGTATGGGGTGTTATACAGAGAGCAGAGCTAATACACAGTCACTGACACTATATATAATGTATGGGGGGTGTTATACAGAGAGCAGAGCTAATACACAGTCACTGACACTATATATAATGTATGGGGTGTTATACAGAGAGCACAGCTAATACACAGTTACTGTCACTTTATATAATGTATGGGGGGTGTTATACAGAGAGCAGAGCTAATACACGGTCACTGACACTTTATATAATGTATGGGGTGTTATACAGAGAGCAGATACACAGTTACTGTCACTTTATATAATGTATGGGGGGTGTTATACAGAGAGCAGAGCTAATACACGGTCACTGACACTTTATATAATGTATGGGGGGTGTTATACAGAGAGCACAGCTAATACACAGTCACTGACACTTTATATAATGTATGGGGGGTGTTATACAGAGAGCAGAGCTAATACACAGTCACTGACACTTTATATAATGTATGGGGTGTTATACAGAGAGCAGAGCTAATACACAGTCACTGACACTTTATATAATGTATGGGGGGTGTTATACAGAGAGCAGAGCTAATACACAGTTACTGACACTTTATATAATGTATGGGGGGTGTTATACAGAGAGCAGAGCTAATACACAGTTACTGACACTTTATATAATGTATGGGGGGTGTTATACAGAGAGCAGAGCTAATACACAGTCACTGACACTATATATAATGTATGGGGGTGTTATACAGAGAGCAGAGCTAATATACAGTATGGGGGGTGTTAGCAGAGCTAATACACAGTCACTGACACTATATATAATGTATGGGGTGTGTTATACAGAGAGCAGAGCTAATACAGTCACTGACACTTTATATAATGTATGGGGGGTGTTATACAGAGAGCAGAGCTAATACACAGTCACTGACACTTTATATAATGTATGGGGGGTGTTATACAGAGAGCAGAGCTAATACACGGTCACTGACACTTTATATAATGTATGGGGGGTGTTATACAGAGAGCAGAGCTAATACACAGTTACTGACACTTTATATAATGTATGGGGGTGTTATACAGAGAGCAGAGCTAATACACAGTCACTGACACTATAATGTATGGGGGGTGTTATACAGAGAGCAGAGCTAATACACAGTCACTGACACTATATATAATGTATGGGGGTGTTATACAGAGAGCAGAGCTAATACACAGTTACTGACACTTTATATAATGTATGGGGGGTGTTATACAGAGAGCAGAGCTAATACACAGTCACTGACACTTTATATAATGTATGGGGGCTGTTATACAGAGAGCAGAGCTAATACACGGTCACTGTCACTTTATATAATGTATGGGGGTGTTATACAGAGAGCAGAGCTAATACACGGTCACTGACACTTTATATAATGTATGGGGGGTGTTATACAGAGAGCAGAGCTAATACACGGTCACTGTCACTTTATATAATGTATGGGGGGGTGTTATACAGAGAGCAGAGCTAATACACGGTCACTGACACTTTATATAATGTATGGGGGGTGTTATACAGAGAGCAGAGCTAATACACAGTCACTGACACTTTATATAATGTATGGGGGTGTTATACAGAGAGCAGAGCTAATACACAGTCACTGACACTTTATATAATGTATGGGGGGTGTTATACAGAGAGCAGAGCTAATACACAGTCACTGACACTTTATATAATGTATGGGGGGTGTTATACAGAGAGCAGAGCTAATACACAGTCACTGACACTTTATATAATGTATGGGGGGTGTTATACAGAGAGCAGAGCTAATACAGTCACTGACACTTTTTATATAATGTATGGGGGGTGTTATACAGAGAGCAGAGCTAATACACAGTCACTGACACTTTATATAATGTATGGGGGGTGTTATACAGAGAGCAGAGCTAATACACAGTCACTGACACTTTATATAATGTATGGGGGGTGTTGTACAGAGAGCAGAGCTAATACACAGTTACTGACACTTTATAATGTACCAGACACGTAGCAGGAGACTGGGATCTGCTATACAAAGTGCAATGTCCTAGTACAGCTGTCACTTGATATACATATATAATAAGAGAACTGCTTATTTGTGTAATTTTAATATTCTGTAAATAGAAGTACATAAAATGTCATTTCTTGCAAATTATCTCCTCCCCCCCCCTCCAAGGTGATACGTCAGCATGGAGGTGCCAGGGATGAGAAGGGCAGGTAGCTATAAAAGCATCCTCTCCTAAAGGCGCACTCCACTTCAGTACTATAACCACTGTATCTCATAGTGGTTATGGTGTTGTGTGTCTATACCATCCCTCTGATTTGTTTGAATCTGTTTTGGACCTATTTGATAAAGTCTCCTGCTCTACCACCAGAATGGCTACTTGCCTGCTGCTTAGCTAATGCGGAAGCGAACTTCATCATTAGACGACTAACTTTTTGGTAGTAATAAGCGAAGTGCACTAAAACACTTCCAGAGCTTGCTGCAAATCTTTGTTGCTCAAAGTGAACTTCCACACTTGTTGAGCAGTACGAGAGGGGCCAGTGTGAGCCATATCTTAATTTAAACCACTCATATACAGTTTAACACAAACTGGAGGGGTCGCAGCACTCACAGATTCTGAACCAGAACCGAGATTTAGACTTCTGCATTTACAGTGTCAGTTTTGTCCAAGTTTGGTTGACACTCATTGCTAAAGTATGTCTGCTGGCATGTAAAACCAAAAGCAGTATGTAGCGTTAGAGGACGGGCCATTGGAGGTCTGGGACCCTTGGTTTGCTTCATACAGCTTAAGTACAATTAAGCCCAGACCCAGCGGATGATGCAGATGTATGCTGGCCACCATAACCATTATAGTGGGCTGTAGTGATTATGGTGCTTATTTTCCCTTTCAGCTCCTGACAAATGAAGCAGTACATTGCTGTGTCACTGTTCTACTCTAGTGCAGGGGTAGGCAACAGTTGGCACTCTGGTGAATGCACTGAAGTACACAATGGGGGTCGGTGGGGGAAAAAATGTGAATATGCCGGTTACCATCAGTTGTCGTCACAGATTAGAAATGACATGACAAAATTAGCCAGGAGAAACAGTTTGAAGTCTTTTGCCAAAGACTAGTTGGAGCCTAAAGCAAAGTAGTCCCTGCATTTGTACATGGAAACATCCACAAGCGCTTGATATACTTTTTAAATAGTGCTCATTCCCCTCCTCTCACCCATTGTATTTTTAAAATGTAAAGAAGAAGAATGCGGTGTAGGTATCTGCTGCTTCTGGAATGAATTGAAAGATTGGTATTTGGGTAAAGAGTCAAAAGTTCTTAGAAAGTTTTGCTTCCTAAAATAGTTCAACAATGAGCTGTCATGCATAATTTATTTTCTATGGTGAAAACCCCATCCTCTGCTGAAAGGACCTAATATATTTTTTTTCTTTCCCCATATCTTCCTCAGAGTTGTATTTTCTAATCGCTAAATTTCTAGCTAATGGATCCTGCCGTAAATCTGCAGAGGTGAGTGAGACATGCATCTCTGTGGACAAAACAAACTCTATTGTAAAAGTCTGTTTAAATATTGAGTAAAATAAAAAAAATTCAGGCTGAAATAACTAATAGATGACTATAGCATACTTGGAGAATGATTCAAAATCAGCTGTTGTGACTTTTATATTTTGCTTTTTCTTTCAATTTACCACTATTCACTGAATTAACTCTACAGTGTTAGCTGGAATGGTAAACATATGGTTAAATGGTCTGTTTATTAATATTAATAATATTATTATTATTAATATTGCAATGCAGTTATTCACCAAACTGTGAATTGTCATGAATTCAAAGTGAATTTCAAAATTTAGGCCATTTTAGCCAGTTTTTAAGAATTCTCTCAATTTATAGTATATTCTTGAGCTCTGCATCTGTTCAGATATAGCGTTACCCACTAGAATGTAATATAATATGTAGTTTATAATCAGATAACAGGAGCTAACTCCTGTGAGCTGCTAAAACCTTGCTCGAGATGTAAACACACTCCCTATCACAATATAGTCTTAAAAACTCAAGTAATGGCACGGTGCACATGTATAACCCTATATGATTATCAATCAGTGTAATGGCACAAAATAAACCCTGTGAAAGGGAAACCTTAAAAAGCCATAATGCTGCTCTGTCTCTCTATGCAGAGCAATAACAACTTGGCGATCTTATAACTCCATTGCTCCAAAGTTAGTACATCTAGCAATTTCTCAATAAGTATGTATAAATACAGTGATTAAACAAAAGGGAATAATACAATAATCACAGCAAAACTTCTGTTAGTGGTATTCCACGCATGCACCTTTTTCAAGCTGTTTTGAGGAGCTACGGATGGGCTTAGCGCGTCGGCTGACTGCTATAAGTCAGTCAGCAGTGGCTTTCCCAGAATTTTGTTCTGACGATTTTAAGATAGCGGATGTGAAAGGGGCTGAGAGAAACTACGCTGGAGAGGAGACTTTGGGGTTAAACAGTTTGTGAACATTTTCACCACTAAAGGCAAGACATCGCCAGGGATCACCTGGCACCATAACAAGCTCTTTTGTAAGAAGTTATCATTCCCAAACTGTTCCTTTAAGATTCAAGAGCAACTAAGTATATAACATTCTTTTTCCTGGACTTGGCTTCTGCCACCGAATGTATGAACTAAGCCGAATTCCGCTACTTGGCCAATGCTAATTAGCCATTGAGAGTGATCATACATGGTCCTGCTTGTCTTAGTGGAGTTAACATGATCTTTCTGCAAGGAGAGTCTGGAATAAGGCCTGCAGCTTTGTGCAACTGGCAGGACACAGGTAAGTTGTCAAACAGTTTAACAAACTACTCTGGGAAGGTGACAAAGCGTTGGTTTTCATACCTTCGGAATTAAAGTGATTTTTCTCCAAACTAGGAATTATTGGGACAAGGGAATTGGAGATTTAGGCTAGAGTTTCTAGGTTGGAAAAAGAGCTGATCTGGAAGATTTCTTCTAGCTCGGCTGTTTTGATATAAAGTGTTTAATTCCCTTGTCAGTTTTCCACAATTTCCAGGTTTTTCAAAACCTCTAAGAATCTTTTCAACATTTTCTCTGTTTGTTATGGTTTACATAATTCTGCTTCGGAATTTGTACATCACCTGAGGACCTTAATATTTTATTTATTTTTGTGTGCAGATGCTGATACAAGAGGTGAATCAATTTAAGGTAAGTGTTGCATCACAATTTTGTTTGTTGCTGGGAAAAATGGCTGCTATCGATTCAGTTAATATTTTTATTTAAATATATAACATTTGTGTTTTCTGCATCAGGATTTATCGGTTATGGTTTTCAAAGTAAAGCTATTTAGTAGAACTAGATTATTGATCAGAATGCCTTTAAGATGAGCTTAATAATTATGTGAAAGTTAGGTATGAGATTTTTTTTTTAGTTTTTTTTCTCACCAAACTGTTGCGTTGTAATATAATTTAGTTTGTATATTGGACTGTCAAGGCTTGGCATATAGTATACATTTCCTGGCCTGTTAGATCATATGCACACAACATGCAATCATGGCATCTTTAGAAACTTGCCTAGTGTGCGTTTTTTTTTGTTTTTTTCCCCACACTTTTTGTTATGGAACGAAGATGCCAGAGAACTCCTATGCGAGGCCTCCTATGCAGCCCGATCCTCCACAGCTGATATCACTCCCTTTTGCTGGAGGGGTAGCAGTGCTGCCACTGCTGTCTGTAGGTATCTGATGCCAAATTTGCAAAGAATTCACATTAGCCATTTGGAACTTTTTCAGCTGGATAGTGGATGAGCCTGGAGGTGGAGTTACTAGAGCAGGGGGAGGGGGGTGAACGCTATAAATGTTGCACATACAGATGGCAGTTACCATGACCGCTTCATCATTGAATATTATTTTAATGTGTTCTTTACATTTAAGATTTTGCTGTTGTCAAGCACTTAGGATATATAATTGAGGGTTTAAAGGAACACTAAAGGGTCAGGAACACAAATGTATTCCTGACCCTATAGTGCTAAACCCACCATTTAATCCCCCTATAAAAGTTTATTACTCACCTTTATTTCCAGCGTGGCGCGGGTCTGTTGGTGCTGGCTCTGCCCCCTTTGTGACCTCACCAAAATGGCCAATTCTTAGCCAATCTAATGCTTTGGATTGGCTAAAATCGGCACTGGGGTGGGGACAAATGCAGTTTTTGGCAATCAGGACCTCTTTGTAGAGATGCATTAAATCAGTGCATCTCTATGAGGAAAATTCAGTGTCTCCATGCAGAGCATGGGGACACTGAATGGCAGTGCTGCTTTTTTGGCAGCACTGACCCAGGAAGCACCTCCAGTGGCCATCTAAGGAGTGGTCACTTAGAGGTGTCCCTAGAGGCACTGAAAAGGCAGTGTTTGCATGGAAAAAAAAAAGCTTGAAGGGAACCATTAAACTCATCAGAGTATATTACATTAAGCTGTAGTTTTTCTGGTGACTATAGTGTCCCTTTAACTGTTATGAGATGATTCTGCCAATCATTGCCCCCCTCCTCCCTCCCCTTTTGTATTCTTTCCTGAAGTTCCTTCACCACCAACTTTCCAAATCTATTATGTTGCTAATGTATTTCACTTGATGGGCTATTAAGATAAACTGGGAATTTACCATCAAGTTTTGCCCAATCTTAATAATAATTTTTTTTTTTTTTTTTTCTGCTTTTACATTTCAGCTGCTTCCTAAGAGGGTTGACTGGCTAGGAAACGAACATGCCCAGACCTTTGATGAAATGGTATGTTTTTGCTTTTATACAACAATCTGTACTTCTGAAAAAGCCATTTAAACCTTCTTGCAGTGCAGGCATGGGGAGTTCCAGGAGGAGGCATGTAGAATCAACAAATCTGTATGCAGTATTAGTAGCCAGGAAAATGATGCATCCATATGTTTAAACACAGGACATGACCGTCATTGTGTGTGCATTATTTTAAATGATGCCCTATCAAAGTAATGTGAACAAGAATCTGAATTTCTGTTTGAAATCCATAGGCAGTGACAGCAGGGAGCCCCTCATTGACCAAATCCATGAATTCGTAATCTCTCATTTCTGTCTGGTAAAATATGATATCCCAAAAAAAAATTAAGGTAACTAGATTACATACAGAGCAAGCTTTGCAGATGAAGTTACGTATTATTAAAAAAAGCTTCTTTGCTCAAGAGAAATATAGCCGGTCAATATTAATTATGACTATGTTTCAACACAGCTTACCACACCCCTCAATTTTTTTTAATCGTATAGAGACTAGCTTGAAAAGACTGGATCACTGCTATTTTTTTTTTTTTTTTCTCATCTGATGCCCTATTGAGGGAATAGGCCTGCAGTGAGACACACAAGGGCTTTATCGGCCTACATGAGTGAAGAGTTGCTATAAAACATGCTCTGCTAGATCCATGTGTGGAACAGAGACAATATTGAAGCACATTGGAAGGTTGGAACTTGCATGTAGGGGACTGTTTTGGAGTAGACTTCCATATATCTAGGCTAGAATTGGCTGCACCAACCGGTAACCATCCAAAAGTGCAGGCAGGTATCAAGATATCAAAGGTTCGCTGCCCAGGTGACTGTAGTCTCTTGCAGAAGGCTTAAGAGGACCCACTCCCAGCTTGTTGGGCTGAGCTAGCATTGAACCTGGAACACAGGGCATAGAAATCGTGGAGGAAAGCAGACATGTATGGGTGTGATAAGCCCCCGTCTGAGGGGTTGGCATGGATTCAGCAGCCATCTTGATTGCCTCAATGTAGGGGGAGGCCGGATGAATAAAGGGTCTGCTCCATGGAGGATTGGGATATTCCCCACTAGTCTAAAAGGTGGGGGGCAGGGAGCTAGGTCCCGTAGGACTATGCTTCATTTGGACTGAGGCGGCTGGTTTGCTTCAGTGTAATGTAAGGGAGAAGCAGTCTTCCCCACACACTGTCAAGGTTAGGGCCTGATAGAGAAATCTGCAGTCTTTTATATGGAGGGTTCAAAACACAGAGGTCAATTTTAAGCACCGGATATTATGACACTAGAAAAAGTGTAGAGGTGGGCTACAGAATTGATGAATGGAACATTTTAGCTATGAAGAATGGCTAACAAATTAAACCTCTTTAGTTTTGAAAATTGACGCCTCAGAGGGGATATGATAACATTATACAAATATACCTGGGACCAATACAAACCATTATCTGGAGATCTATTCATTAACAGGACTATACATAGGACACAATGTTGTGCAATTAGACTGGTAGAAAGAAGATTTAGTCTAAGGCAAAGGAAAGGTTTTTTTTTTCTTTTACCATAAGAACAATAAGGAGGTGGAATTCTCTGCCTGAAGAAGTAGGTTTATCAGAGTCTGTACAGATGTTTAAACATCAACTAGTTGCATACTTACAAATACCTAATATTCAATTTATATAATTTTTCAACTGTAAAGTAATGGCTCCTTGATCCAAGGATAAATCTGCTATTCTCGGGTCAAGAAGGAATGGGTTTTTTCCTTGGATGCTGCAAAATTGGAAGTGCTTAAAACTGTTTTTTTTGTTGTTGTGTTTTTTTTATGCCTTCTTTCTAATAAACCGCAACAAACAGATGTGAGGAAGGTTGAACTTGATGGGCATGTCTGTTCTCAGCCTATGTTACTATGTAGGTCATTCAGTCAAATGAGGCACAAACACATCCGTTGGCTGATTGCATCAGCCAGACGTTGAATGCTTAGGAGAATACCACTAATTATTCACCTGAAAGACGAAAAGTCTCAGGAACTGCACTGCTATGCAATCGTCTGGCTTGGCGGCCAGGCCTACCCCATGTGAAATTATAATATCGCATAAAGTTCGCAGTATCTCTCTTTAGATCAGAAAACTGGTACTACTGAATAAACTACACACAGCTGTGTTCCAAGCCTCTAACTTTGCATACACATAGCTACTGATTTGGAGAGGTTGAGAGCTGGAACAGCATGTACACTGTGTATGCACAATTTGGACAGCAAAGGAGGCAGTGCAATTTGTCAAACCTTTAAAGGGACACTCCAGGCACACAGACCACTTCTGCCAATTGGAGTGGTCTGGATGCCAACTCCCACTACCCTTAACCCTGCAAGTGTAATTATTGCAGTTTTTGTAATCTGCAATAATTACCTTGCAGGGTTTACGCCTCCTCTAGTGGCTGTCTATCAGACAGCCACTCGAGGGACTTCTGGGTTCTTAAAACCCAAAAAGTGTTTTAAACGACGCTGGACATCCTCACGCTATGCATGAAGACCTCCAGCGTCGCCGGAATCCCCATAGGAAAACATTGAATAATGCGCGCACGGCCATTGCCACGCATGTGCATTATGTCCTCCCCCGGGATGAGGAGCCTGGGCGGAGCCTGACCCAGAGCTGAGGGACATCCGTGCTGGATTCAGGTAAGTCACTGAAGGGGTTTTTAACCTTCAGCAACATGGGGTGGGAGGGAGAGGGGTACTGCAGGAACCTGCAGTGCTAGGAAAACTGATGTTTTCCTGACATTGGGGAGTCCATTTAAAGTGTACCGTTTTAAAGTGGAACAATTAGTGACATTTGGAAGAATATTACTGATAGGACAATGTTTGGGACTATTCCCTAAACCAGGAATTGTGAAATGGTGATAAGAGAATCCATTGGCAATTTTTCCACAGTTGTTAGTTTAGTGCATATAACTGAATTATGTGGCTGGAAAATGTTAATGTTTAAAAAAAAAAAAAAATTATATTGAGCCTAATATTGTGTTTTTTGGGTTTTTTTTTTTTTTTTTCTTCTCCACCAGGTTTCTCTTCACAGCCATGTGACGCCAGACCATTTACTAAGAATGTGCCAGCATCTTGTATCTGTCCTTGACAAGGAAATGCCACCCAATCTACGGAAGACCTATTCGTTACTAGCTGTCGGCAAGCATTCTCTATTGCGTAAAGAAAAAGGTACCCTTATAGACTGCTTGGGTTTCTCGAACTATGGGATTGTTCTTGTAAGGCCACCACAAGCCCTCCGACTCTATTTAGCGTTGAGTGTGCAGTGTCTTTCATCGCCCTCTTCCTGTCTTATGCCAAACCTCTTCAGTTATTTGGAGGATACAAAGGTTTCCTGCAGCTCGATGTGGAAGTCAATGATTGCATTAGCCGTCCATCATTGGACAGTTGTGATAAGCTTAGAAGTGGGCTAGCCCTTCTCTTGATGTCCATCATTGCTGGGAGAGAACATGGCTCTAAATTAAGAGTGTTTGAAACCAACTTTGGAGGCAGCACATATTCTTTGCATCATAATCATGAGCTGTAAGTTTGTTGCTGATGGTTTCCATTAATGTTTTGTGAGTAAAGTTTAACTATACAATTTATAGAAAACATTAACGATTCAAAATTAATTTAACTGGTTCTCCAACTTTGTACAGGAACCTTACAACTGTTGTGACAGAATGATGAACAGTACCCTAGCACAAAGTTGTTGTCCTCAGGGAATTTTCCATTCTGTCATATGTCTCCCGTTCCATGTGCATTCTAAAAACTCTGTTGCCCATTCTTTGACCAAAGTTTCACTTAACTTTATTGCTAAAATTTTTGTATGCCTGTAATAAAGTGCCATTAATGAAAAATACAAGAGTTTATTTACTAAACTTGTATTTCTGGAGAATCCATAACAGAATGGTGAATTTTATGCCAAATATGAAAAGGAAACTTTCTCCAAATCTAACTTCTGAGCGTGTATTGTAGTTTAATTTTGAGTTCCCCATCATGATTTTTCAGTTTAAGCACAGTTTGCAGACTCTCCTGACAGTCCTCTGCCTCCCACAGATACTTTGTCTATACACCCTATCAAATGTCGGCAGGCTATATGTATACTAAACACGTCCTTCCTAGGACCTCCAAGGAATTTAGGCTCTTGGTATCTCTTTTCAGTGAGGCAAGGGTCTGAATGAGTGACTCCTATGATCGGTGCCTCCGTACTTTGAGAAGTGGTCTTGATTTTATTTTTTTTCTTACTTGAAACGTTTCAAAAATGGCCTCCTCCTGCTTTGAGCATATAGTGCCTTTCTGGGAGAGTTGCTTGTTGAAGAGTAAGACTTTCTGTTTAACGCTGTTCTAGAGAATATTAGGTGTTCGGGCCTGCATTCTAACACGACCTGACAAACTAAAATATATACTTTATATAGTCCAGTATATCTCTAGTCAGATTTTGTGTTATTAATTATTGAGACGACGACTCCTGCATTTTATTTTTCGTTGGATTTTAATTACTTTGAGTCCAGTATAGGATAGGGTTGGGAAATTTCAAATTGTATAATTAGTGGAACTGTTGCCATCAGTTTTTTTTTTTTAAAAGCGAATGTCCACCTTAGTGTAGGTATAGATTTAATTGATTCAGTATGCTGGTGAACCCAGCAAATATATAGATTACAATATATCATTACCTGCAGATTTCTTCCTATTCACTTATGGTGATGTCCCGGAAGGAATAGGGTGTTGCTTACTCGTCTGTACTACTCCCAATTGATATGCTGTGCATCCAACAATTCTTGATTTCGGTCTCCTATTTTTGTAGTCTTTACTACAATGCCAGTCACACAGTGGCAAAGGCAGGGACTATACGTATATTTAATTCCATTTGTACAATTCGTAGTACATTGATGAGCGCAATGTTTAGGTAAAAATTTACTTAGAAAATTGACCAAGGCATGTTGGTTATGACATTTGCAACTTCATTTTAAAGTAGGTGTGCATTTGACTAGGTCATAACTACAATAGTCTGTCTATTTCCACATGTGTCTCTGTTAAATAGAAATGGCATTCTGTCAGCATGACGGGGACATGCTTAATGCAAACATTCTATATTTGTAAATGCGTGGCCCCTCTACCTGAACATGTTTGGTTGTTTTTTCCTCAGCTCTTGTAAATGTTGCAGGTTACTACCATATTTGTCACTTTGATTATAAATCTTTAAAGGTGCAGTACAATAAACTCTACATGACATTGTATTGGCTATGGTACTTTGAGGCTCCCACCACGGCCTGTCATTCAACTCACCTAGTACTCATGTGGAATTTCCACGTCTGCATTTGCTGTATCTATTTTATCCATATCACAGTTATGAGCAGAGCATATTGGTTAATGTGCTCAAAAAATATTTAAAACAGAACCAGAGTATTTTTATATTTTTATATATATATATATATATATATATATATCTATATATCTATATATATCTCTATCTATCTTGCAACCAATAAGACAGCATAGTGGTTATGGTGCATAGACTGCACCTTTACCTAATGTAACATTTTCACAGACATCTTCTGTTAGGTGCCAACAGTGTTCATTTAAAAACTGTGTGTTTAAGACTACCCAGCTCTGTATTAAGACTAATGGAATCTAAATAATTCAGATTGCAGGAATGTCCTGTGGAACCGTAAGACGTTTGCTGCTCTGCACAGAGGAAGACCACCAGAAATCCCTCTCACTATGAAATGGCCACCAAACACTGGTAACTATGCAGAATAGTATTCTTATTAACTTAAAATGTACTCATTTGTGTCGGGTACTCCCCTAACAAATTTTGTTTGACGTTATTTCTTGTGCTTGACAGTGGAGGTGCACCTTGGAAAACACTTGACTGGTTCTGTTAGCTTTAATCCAGCCTTTCCTGTGACTATGTACCAGCATATCAAAATGAAGAAGAGAATTCTTGGCCATCTCTCCTCTGTTTACTGTGTTGCCTTTGACCGCACAGGTCAAAGAATTTTTACGGTATGTAAGTTGAGATTAAATTGTATGAGTGTCTTCTCTTGCAAGGCTGCCTCATTAGGAGGCACAGACTGCATTCTTTTTCCTGTCTCAAACAGCTGGTTGTATCACATTTTACTCCCATCTCAGCAGTGTCCAACTTCCACCTTCCAAATGCTGCAGGATGACATTTACCATAATAACGGGCAGAAACGTTTGTACAAATGCGGGCAGTGTCATACAAAAGCAAACGGAAGCACGCCTCTATCCGAAGCTGTGCAAATGTGATTAACTGTTCTTGATGTCAGTGAGAACACTTGTAAAGAAAACATGCTTAGTAGCATTACACAAATGCATAGTTGCCCAATCTCTTAATTGGGGCAGGTAGACCTAAAATTGCAATAAAAAAGGCAGAAAACCGGTCCCCTCAGAGAAGCTAGCAGTACAATGTCTAAACAAAACCACTGATGATGATCATTCCCAAACTCGTTTTAACTGAGCAATGTAATCAAGGAGTAATTCTTTGGGGTTTTTTCGAAGAAGGAAACCAGATGGCCACTTCAGGTCTATCCTAGATCTAAAAATGTTTCATTATTTATAGTAAATAAGAGACTTTTAATGAAATCAGTACATCAAGCTGTTTAGATCTCTCCAGTCGGAGTACACTCACAATATGTGAAAATGTAGTGAAAATTAAAGCTTTTCTTTGGATTTGCAAATCTGATAAACACAAACGAATTCCGAAGTAAATTGTTACAAATGTGTTCCTTTCAGGATTTTATGGGAAATGTAGTACAGCTCCAGCTGTCTGGTATGATGGGGGTGGAACAGCTGAATAGGCTGATAGCCTATTACTTACAATAGTGGTCTGCTTCTTGGTAGAAACTTTCTGTTTGCTGCTCATTTAACCAATGTAATCGTTTTATATGGAAGTCCATATGAACGGTTTTGGAGTTGGGGTAAAATAAATTAATTTACGGTATCAGATTAGTATTTCTTTTTTTAATTCTTTATTTTTCAGTGCAAGGTGTTACATATGAGCTTACATTGCCACAACTGCTTTAGTAAACATTGTATTGTCATGAAGTATAAAACAGTAATATGGCAAGCAATGAGATTGCACAATTTTTATACGTATAACAGGAGAAGCCTAGTGTACATATCAGGTCGCGACCTAGTGCTTGTGGCACTCAGAGATATGATAGCAGGATGTTCGTGGGTGGTTGGGCATATATGCTCCGCTTCTAGGGCTTTCGCTGGGCGGCCATCCTTGCTGCGCCCCAGTGGCTTGGTGCCTCTGTAGTTAGCTCAGTCATTATATTTGCAGTCTGTCTTGGCCAGTTTGTCCAGTGGGGACCGGGATAATGCCCACCGACGTGGGCAGTGCACCCTGTGAGGTCCTTGGGTTGTATATCCGCAGCTTTTGCCGCAATTTCTGCCCACCAGACAGGAGCTCGCGTTCCACATGTCTGCATGGCTAGGTGGTCAGGCTCTGCTCCAGATTAGTATTTTTTGTTAACTTGTTTTTTTTATATATATTATATACGTGCACATTCTGATATCACTGGCAACTGTTTTCAGGGTGCTGATGACTGCTTGCTGAAGATCTGGTCCTCACTGGATGGGCGTTTGCTAGCTACTTTACGTGGTCATTCAGCAGAGATTTCCGAACTTACTGTGAATTATGAGAATACCCTGATCGCAACAACAAGCTGTGAAAAACTGATCAGAGTTTGGTCTCTCAGGACATGTGCACCTGTTGCTGTACTTCAGGGTCACTCGGTTTGTGTCAACTCATTGATTGTAAGTATATATTATTGCATTTTCTTGAGGTTTTCTTTTTCAGCACAGGTGTCAACTGATTTGGTTATATTAATGATCCTTTAATTTTTTTTTAAAAATTAAAGAAAATATGTACGTATATTTTTTTTCAAGACAAATGTTTTGCACTATCATGTCTGATATTTAGATCTGTTTCTGAACCTGAATAGTAGGCACTAAGGCCTCATTTTAATTTGATTTGAATAATTTCTGAATTAAGTTAAAAATAAGTTGTCTACAAAACTCCCAGATTTTTATTGTGGATAAATCCATTTGAAAGGCTATTTTTTTTTTTAGCCTAGGATCAATAAGCTTATTACCCCACATTTGAAAAATTATCATTGAATATTACGTTTTTGCAAGTATGCAATTAGTTGCTGTTTAAACATCTGTACAGACTCTGATAAAACTACTTCGTCAGGCAGAGAATTTACCTTATTATGGTAGAAAAAACCCCACTTTCCTTTGCCTTAGATTAAATCGTCTTTCTTCCAGTCTAAATCTATGACTTCATATCCTATGTAAAGTCCTGTTTGTGATAGATTTTCAGACAATATTTCGTATTTGCCTCAGATATATTTGTGTAATGTTATCATATCCCCTCTGAGGCGCCATTTTTCTAAAATAAAGAGGTTTAATTTGTTAACTTATCTTCAGAGCTAAACTGATTCATTCCTTTTATTCATTTTTTAGCCCTTCTCTGCACTTTTTCTAGTGCCATAATATCATTCTTTAGAACAGGTGCCCAAAATTGCACAGCATATTCAAGATGTAGTTTTACCAGTGACTTATAAAGCGGCAAAATGATATTCTCGTCCCAAGAATTAATGCCCCTATTTATATACATGGTAATAATTGCTGGCATTAGCAACTGCTGATTGACATTGCACGTTGTTATCCCATTTGTACCTTTTCCCTTCTTATCAGATAACTGCTGCCTTCTGTGTGAGGCCCTCTGTCTCCTGATAAACCGTTATATCGTGTCTGACTGTGCATTATTGTGGTGGTTGTTCAGAAACTATAGAGCTATATGTTGGTTACCACCAATCTACAAAATATTTTATTAAAGGGGTGATGTCACGTGTGTGTGTGTGTGTGTGTGTGTGTATATATATATAATATATAAATTTTTTTTTTTTTTTTTTTCAATATCACGTTTAAATACCTCCTTGATTTAGTAAATATGCTTTTGAGAGTTCTGGTAAATTAAATATAGAATTCCACATTGTGGATTTCCGTCTATCCTGAGACTGAGTATCACCATATTGGTCTTTTGCCATCAATTTCTTAAATATTCAATATATGTTTCAAAAGAAAACCGAGCATCACTGGGAAAGGTAGCTCATATTATAGGTGCTCAATGTTAACTTCATTCCAGACGCATAGCTCCACTGTTACAAACTAACAGATCTGATCATTTTACTTTTTGGTCATATCTTTTTCAGTTCAGTCCATTTGTCAGAGGATCTACAAGATACTTGATATCTACTGGAGGTGATGCAACAGTTTGCTTGTGGCAATGGGATGCGGACACACTGCAGTTTAAGTGTGTATCTTAATTTAAGAAAATTCTAAGTTTAAGAGAGAAAAAAATGAGCAACTTGTAAATATTTACTTTACTTTTCCCCCCTCCTAATTCAGGGATCGTCCTCTGAAGTTTGTTGAAAAATCTGGGCCCTCAGCCAAAATACTTTGTTGTTCCTGTAGTGCTGGTAAGTACCAATGGAAAGCACCTGATTTGAGTTTTTGGGTTGTAAATCTGTTTCAGCTACACCCCTTTGCTTCTTCCAGGTGGCATGTTTTTGGCAGCTGGCGCTAGTGATCATGCAATTAGGATGTATTATTTTGGCCGTGAAACACCTGAGAAGATGTCTGAGCTTGAAGGCCACTCTGTAAGTAGTTGTAATATATATATATATATATATATATATATATATATATATATATATATATATATATATATATATATATATATATATATATATATATATATATATTTTGTATAAAATTGGGCCTTGCAAATAAAAAATAAATAAATCTGAAGCATACTTCTAATAAGCTCAAGCGATTAGGAACCGGATTACTTAATGTGTCCGAACATTTTTAATGTCTAACTACTGTTTTTTTTTTTTTTTTCTTCATTCTTTTTCAATTCTACCATTTAAAAATATAACTGTCCGTACCGAACGTACTGCACTTGATCTACCTTTTGCTTACTTTATTATTTACAAGTATATGTAAAAAAAAAAAATATATAAACTTGTAATACCTTTTTTAAACAGAAATTTGTAATGACAAGCTTTCGAGAAAACCTTTCTTTAATAGAAGTGTGTGTCCTTATACCTGCTGCACTTATTGTACCTCCCTCTACTGTAATGTAACCTGTAAAGTGTCAAGTACACTTTTAGTGCTGTGTAAATAAATTATATATATCTCACAAAATAAAAATGTGTATATATTATTTCACTTTAATATTTTTATTCTCTTTTAGGGCATAATCGATAGCATTCAGTTCTCAAACCACAGTGAAAGGTGTGTAAAATGTTAATTGAAGTTTGTAAAAAAAAAATAAAATAATATATATATTTTTTTTAACTGTGGCTTATGTGGCCGTTGCTCAATTGAAAATAATCCTGAACGCCAAAAGGGCCTCAATTGGTCCGCTCCGTGGAAGAAAAATCTAATCTATGAAGCGGAGCCATAGTTTGACAAAACAAAGAGGGTGAGTGTAGACAAAGTCCTCCTCAAAGCAAGCCATCGCAGTGCTCTGTAGTTGTTTATACTAGCTATCCTTGTACATAAAATAGTTCTCATGCAGGACCTACTTAAGGAGATTAGTGGCAAATCCACGTTGTCTCATCAATATCCATTTGCAACATATGTCTTGTGACAGCCTGGACACACCCATTATGAAGGATGGAGGTGTACATGCTACTCACATCCATCATGCACAAAAGGACACAGTTCATCAAAATTACGTAATTTAGTTAGGAAATCTATGGAATCCTTGATAAAAGATCGAGTACCAAGTACACAGGGTTGTATTAAGGAGTCCAACAAGGGTTGGAAAACTGATTCCGTGCCGGCAACAATCGGTCGACCTGGGTGGCTTGTTCAAATCCTTGTGGATCTTTGGTAATATATAAAACAAGGTAACAACAGGCTTCTCTTTGATTAGGAATTTCCTCAGATCTTTGTCAATTATTCCCTGTTTAAATGCATCCTCCACAACATCAATAATACCTTGTGCAATTTCATCAGTAGGATTCCTGAGCAATTTATAATATGTCTGAGTGTCCGAAAGTTATGACCTCCAAGTCATTTTTAGTTGTGTCCATGACCATCAGGGCCCCACCTTTGTTGGCCAGCTTGATGGTCAGGGACGTATCCTTCTGCAGTTCACTAAAGGCTCTGCCCTGGTGAGATTGAATTGTTTGCCACTTTTTGTCCAGTTTAATCTGTTTATGTCCCTTTCGATCAATTTGACATAAACTTCCACCACTTTACATCTGGTTCTATCGACTGGACAGGAGCTTTCCACTTCATAGGGAGGTAAAGACACTGGACTACAATGAAAACTTCTGTAATTCAATATCCAATGTTAGTTTATTACAATCAAAAACCTCCACAAAACCCACACCTTTCTGCAGTACTTGTTCCTGGGCAGGTGATAGAACCTTAGATGAGATGTTAATGTTTCTGTTGGTGAGTGCGTCCCGGATATCTCCGTGAGGGTGGTCATTGCTACGAGGCCCACTTTGACACGTTGTCCGAAGTATTTAATTGCCTGACTTATAAATGCCATCTAATAATGTAATTTAGTCTTGCTGAAACAGCTGATCTGTGATGTTTGTAAGCAATTTAGCAATACCAATAAGACATGGCGTTCAAGCATAAACGCTGCACATACAGATTCCTTCTGCATGACCACTTCAAATCAGTGAAGTGGTCATGGTGGTTGGAGTAACCCTTTAAGAGGGGGTACCCTTAAATGTACTCTTGAGATTGTAGGCATGCAAGAAAAAGTCCACACTGGTATTGTTTTAATGTTTGATTTTCCTTAAAGGGACACTCCAGAGCCCTAAAACATTTTAGCTTCCTGAAGAGCTTTGTTTGAAGACTTTTTTTATTTTTTTTTCAGTTTTTTCTTCTCATTTTACAAAAAAGGCTGATTTCAATAGATATCTACCTTTTTTTTTTTTATTATTATTCATAAATCCTGTTACACCCCCATGGCTGCCAGTCAGACAGATCCTGTTACTTCCTGGTTTGGTTAGCTCAGTGGAGCTAAACTCAAGATGCAGCAGTTGCTCAGAGCAACAGTCTTACGAAAAACTTCTCATTGAGCTGCATTGGTAAGTCTTTGGGTAGCGAGAAGTCTGGGTGGAGTTAGAAGAGGGGGGCTTGCAAAGACTTCAAACAAGAGGCTACTGCTTTTGCTAGCTGCTTTTAGATAAACCACCAATGAAAAAAATGCCTTATTAAATGTTGCCTATATATTTAGAATAAAATGTCACAAAAGTCCCTGTTGTTGCAATGGACAAGTGTCTCAATACTTTTGTCCATGTAGTGTATGTCTCTTGCAAAATGTTTGCACTTCAGACTTTTTTCAGAACTGTTCTATCTTTTTCGCAAAACCTATTCCAGTAAAACATTAAAGGGAAACAATAGGCACCCAGACCATTTCAGCTCATTGAAATGGTCTGGGTGCAGTTCCCCTGTTCCCTTAACCCTGTAATTGTAATTATTGCGGTCATTGAGACACTGCAATCATTACCTTGCAAGGTTAACCCCACCTGTAGCTGTTTACCAGACAGGCACTAGTGGTGCCTCCGTGTCCTGAGCAGACTTCTGGTCCGCTAAATGACGCTGGACATCCTCACGCTCTGCATGAGGACATCTACCATCAGCTAACACCCCATTGGAAAGCATTGATACAATGTTTTACTCTGAGGAAGTCCTAATGTGATCGCGCAAGGGACATCAGCGCTTAAATCAGAGAAATAAATTATTTAAAAACAATGAGTTGGCTCACAAAACTGGTAGCTCTCAAATTAAAGAGCAGAGTGTTAATAGAACTTATTTGTTAAAATGTTACTTTGCAGAATGTTCATACAGATAAGCGTATTAGTCCTGATGTATATGAAGCACTCTCTTTATGATTCCAAAGTCCTACAGTCCACACCATAAATATAGTAGACTCTTCTAGGTTCTTCAGGAGTTCTGGGGTTATAATTCAAATAGCCATTTAGAGGTATAAGAGCTTAAAATGGTATAATAACGTTGGGTGAGAAACCACCATATCCACCCTATGTGGTGCTCTCACCTTATTACAGTGCACTTGCACTTGATCTGTACCGGGTCCCAATTGGTATCTGGGAGACAAAGCACATATATACTCCAATAATGTAACACTTTGTATAGGGGTTAACACTCCCCCTATGTATCCTGCTCACCTGGTGCAGGGACTTGAACTGGTCCCACAGTATATCTCACTGTATAGATAGTGTGTCTCCAATAGTATACTACACTTTATTAGTTTCTATGAAACCAAGAGATGTATCCCTTTAAATCCAGGTCAAATTGCTGCTATATGGCTGGAAAATTAAGTTATTTATGTCACATTGATTTATAGGTTTGTTCTACTTTATTGTATTTATTGTAACATTCATAGATTTATTCTTATGTTGAAGTATGTTAATTTTTTAAGTAAACCAATTTGCCATATACCACTCCTAAGATGTGGGAAGAATGCTCATAAATTACCAGAACTAAACACATTGTGGATTATCTGCAGCTGTAACGCTGCAAATTACTCCTCATCACGGTAGTACTTAATAGAGATCGGCACCAACAGATTTTGAGAAAGCCAAGCCAGGCCAAACGTGTAAGTCGCGTGGTGCCGACATTACATACCTGTGTTCAGGGGAGAGGAAGGTCTAGCAGCTTTGGTGGACCTGTCAGCAATCATTCAAAACTACCCCATGAACTGTGAGCCAGTTTAACAGATTTCGCTGTTACTATATTTTGTTTTATTTTACTTTAATTTTCTTAGAAACTAACAAAGTGTAGTATATTATTGGAGATTCACTCTTTGTCTATACAGTGAGATATACTTTGGGACCAGTTCAAGTCCCTGCACCAGGTGAGCAGGATACATAGGGGGAGTGTTAACCCCTATACAAACAGTGTTACACTATTGGGAGTACAGATCAAATGCAAGTGCACTGTAATAAGGTGAGAGCTCCACATAGGGTGTGTATCGTGGAGGTTTCTCACCCAACGTTATTACACCATTTTAAGCTCTAATCTCTATAGATGGCTATTTGAATCATAACCCCAGAACTCCTGAAGAACCTAGAAGGGGCTACTACATTTATGGTGTACTATGACTTTGGAATCATAAAGAGAGGGCTTCATATACATCAGGACAATACTCGTATCTGTATGAACATTCTGCAGAGTAACATTTTACAAATAAGTTCTATTAACATTTTGCTCTTTAATTTGAGAGCTTCTACCAGTTTTGTGCGCTTAATCATTGTGTTAAAATTATAACTCATTATATATGTTAAAACTTTAAAGGGAAAGCGCCTCAGATATTTATTATAGATAAGTGAGTTTATTAATTTTTCTACACCCCTTACAGCGGGCCGTGGGGGAGGGGGAGTTATTAAAGTGCTAGGTATACAACTTTTTGTTCCTAGCGCTATAGTTTCCCTTTAACATTTGATAAGTTGGTGCAGTAAGAAAACAGTCAACCTTGTAGACTATGGCTTTGGTTTGTTTCATTTTTGTTTTTAACTTTTTCTCTCTCCAAGGTTTCTGAGTGGCAGCAAAGATGGTACTGTTCGAATCTGGTATCTGCAAAAGCAGGAATGGAATAGTCTCTTGCTTGACATGGCCCAACTGCTGAATGAAAGGTAGCTATGTGTACCTTCTAGCTTACTTTAACTTAATGTGTTGAAGGTCCCATAAGGAATCAAACCAGCCATATTTGTGTTGTTTCTTTTGACTGTATGAGTACTTTTTTTTTTTTTGGCAGGATTCTAGTCTTTTTTAGAGTGTAGTTTGTAAATCTCACTATGCAATCTAATTTAAAGTACCTTGCTTCTTAAACCACATCTAAATTGTCACTCTAAGAACCATAACAACTCTGCATCATTGCAAAGAAAGTTCTTGGAGCACCAAAGCTTACTCTCCACTCTAAGAGTGGCTCTGAACTGCAGCTGTAATACATCACTTTATATATAACTGTCAGAAATTAGTATTGCGGGGGCCTTCCCGATCTAAATGTTTTTTTTTTGACCAGTTTGTGCAAGCGACATGTACCTTGGGCTTAACTCTCTCCCCTGCCAGGAGAGCCAAGCCATAAACCGCGCATGTACAGATCTAAGAATGGCGGATTGGTGCACATTGATATGCTATATCCATGTCAACCACCAGAGAAGTTGCTTATATACTAAATGATGAGTGAAACTGCTACTGGTCACTTCCTGGTTAGGGAGGAGTTTGCCTCAAGCTCCATGTAGATCCAGTAAACTGTGCATTTGATCACAAAAACGCACTTGTCTACCCAGTGCTGTGTAAGGATTAATAACATGTTCAGCATGCTACGAAGGTTCTCAGGGTTGGCTCAGTCTAATTTGCACAGTGCTGAAGTTGAAATTCCTGGGTGTAGGGAAACGGAAAGTTTTTTTTTTTTTTTTTTTTTTCTTGCCCATTAGTGATGTCCCGAACGGTTTGCTGCGGACTCATCATTGAGTAAACTTTGACCCTGTACCTCACAGTCAGCAGACACATTCCAGCCGATCAGCAGCAGACCCTCCCACCTCCTGGACAGCTCACTAAGAATGCAGCTTCACAATGGATGCTGTCTGGGAGGGAGGGTCTGCTGCTGATCGGCTGGAATGTGTCTGCTGACTGTGAGGTACAGGGTCAAAGTTTACTCAATGATGAGTCTGTGGCGAACAGTTCGGGACATCACTATTGCCCATATATAACCTTGGGTCGCAGGTTCTAATCCCGGCAGGGCTGACTCAGGCCTTCATCTTTCCGAGGTAGATAAAATGAGCACCATTAAATTAGGTAATAGTAACAACCCCTGGATGTTGGGCTAAGGTAACATCCCCAGGACGTTCTTGAAAACCAGAGTAATCTGAATGTACCTTTGCTGGTTACATTTATTAATAATAATATAATTATTATTATTATTATTTTGTGTAATTTCGTTATCTATGGTTAACTTCAGCCAATATTGATTTTAGTTGCATTTTATTGTTGGGACTACTATTCCCAATAACGGTGCAAAATAATGGTTCACTGTATGAATGTATTGTTGGAATATATTTTTGTTGTCTGGTTTGCATTGATATTCAGATCCTCCTTAAAGCTTTTGGTGCTTTAACCCTGTATTGTCATGCTGATAAGTAATATACAAAGTACTGGCTATAGTGTACGATAAAAATGGTGGTCATTTCTATCCAGCTCTGCTTACGTGGAAGACCGATACTCTAAGCCAAAGGTTTTAATGCTCACATGGAATATCTCAGACAGCCTTGTTGTCACTGCCACCAGTTCTTATCTGCTGAAGGTCTGGGACTCTCACAGTGGAAAACTGCTGCATATTCTGCCGGTAAGTTACGGGTGCGTACACAAACTGCACAGGTGATGGTTTTATAAAAATATTGTTTCAAGAACCGTGGGGAGAGACAAACACCCTGAATACAATGGAATCAGCTGGTATATACCATTTTCTGGATTTTGATAGTGGTAACCCACTGTTCGTTATGTTTATAAATCTATATTCCTATATTATTGCTACACTAGATTTTCACTTTGCACAAATAGCACTGTAGCCATACTGTGAACATTGATCATTTTAGACCCATTCACAAGTTGTGTATGTTTAGTTTAGGGTTTAACAGATTGCAGACAGATGGAATAGGAACATAATGTTCTTTAGCCTTCAAGCATATTTGTTCCAGCAGGAAACACAATTGTTAAGTTATAGTGACAGTCTTTGCTATGCAGATCTACTTAAAGGGGCATTTCAGGCACCCACATTTTGGTTGCTGTATATATGTGTGTTTTCTCCATAGGTCTTCTCAATAAGCCCAACATTTCTGCCTCTCCTATCCCGATTTGCACAGTTTATTTTTGCTGTAATATTACAGCTGTCCTGGATATCGTGGTTTAGCATTTTGGGAATGGTAGTTTGACTTTCAGCAGTAGAACTACATGGAAAGCCTCAACTCCCAGAACATTGCAAGCCTGCTGTGTTGGAGTTTATGGAATAAGCTTAGCCTTTCTATAACATTTTGAGCATCATAATTGAATCACTTTCTGGCCCAATTTGCATGCAAAGAGAAACTCATCAAGAACCACTTTTAATAAGATATTAGCTTTTTTTCTGCAGGAAGTGCTTCAAAGGGAAGAAAAACCTCTGGTTGTATTTATGTACTCTTAAGTAATCTAAAAATGTTTGATTTGTCTCCATTTAGGGTCATGAAAATGACATTTATGTTCTGGAACCTCATCCATTTGATTACAGGATCATGTTATCTGCAGGATACGATGGCAAGATTTCTATATGGGATGTTACAAAGGGTGTAAGAATAAAGAGCTATTTTAATGCGGTAAGAGCATTTTGTTTGAATACTTTAAATCCTCCCCCTCCACTTTATGTATACCCACTGGGGGGTATATTGTAACTTTTCATGAAACCCTAAAGCTTGTTAATCTGTATCGATGTCAGTCTAATTCTAACCCAAGTTCTACTTCTAATTCCAACTTTTCTCTAGGACATAAGGCACAAAGATCTCTGTGAGATCGAATTGGTGATCTGATTGTTTCACTGCAAATTAAATTAAATGGACTCCAGCACCACAGCTCAGTAGCTCTGTAGTGGTTTTGGGGCATGTGATGTGTCCCTGCAGGGCTAGCAGTGTAAATGCTGCCTTTTTAGAGAAAAGACAATGTTCACACTGCTAAGTCCACCTCTAGTGGCTATCACTCAGGAGGGACTTCTTGGCCGTCCAGAAATCTCTGCAGGGCCTACATTCACAGGCGCTAAATGCTCCCCATAGTGAAGCATTGATTCCATATATCTCTGTGAGAAGTTGATTGGTCAACGCAGCCATTTGCCACACCTGTGCACTAGCACCCCCAATGCCTTCCTGTGGGAAAGTATTGGATTGTCTGAGACCATGAAGATTGATCTCAGCCAAGGAGACGAGACCAGCACCGCAGGGATTGGTGCCGCGAGTACTACAAGGTGGTGAGCATTGTCTACTGCTCTACCATAAATTTCAATTGATGGTTTTGACACGCAGGACCATGAAATATTAATATAAGCGAATACTATTTTAAATTGACTTATTAGTCTAGATTGGAACTCTGCATTGTGAACAATTCTCGTGCAATTAACCTTTTCCTTCTATTCTAGATTGAAGGCCAGGGACACGGGGCCATTTTGGACTGTAAATTGTCTGCTGACGGACAACACATAGCCAGTACAGATTCCCATGGACATCTGCTGATATTTGGATTTGGTTGCACTAAAAGATATGAAAAGGTCTGTCTTGTTATAATTTTAACCAGAGATTGTCCCTTTATTTTGTATGTTAGGGTTTTATTTTTATATTGTGTTGTGCCAGTAACTGCAGCAGTTATAAATAAAATGGTTATCTTACTTGCTGTAGAGTGTAGTAAAGAAGTGTGCGTTTTTTTTCTTTCCTTTCATTTCAAGGTAATATCCACTTTGATTTCATATCATGGGAGCATTAAAGGACCACTATAGTGCCAGGAAAACATACTCGTTTTCCTGGCACTCTAGTGCCCTGAGGGTGCCCCCACCCTCAGGGACCCCCTCCCGCCCGGCTCTGGAAGGGGGAAAAGGGTTAAAAACTTAACTTTTTCCAGCGCTGGGCGGAGAGCTCTCCTCCTCCGTTCCTCCTCCTGGGCTGAATGCGCACGCGCGGCAAGAGCGGCGCGCGCATTCAGCCCGTCACATAGGAAAGCATACATAATGCTTTCCTATGGACGCTTGCGTGCTCTCACTGTGAAAATCGCAGTGAGAAGCACGCAAGCGCCTCTAGTGGCTGTCAATGAGACAGCCACTAGAGGATTAGGGGGAAGGCTTAACCCATTCATAAACATAGCAGTTTCTCTGAAACTGCTATGTTTATAAAAAAATGGGTTAACCCTAGCTGGACCTGGCACCCAGACCACTTCATTAAGCTGAAGTGGTCTGGGTGCCTAGAGTGGTCCTTTAACTGATAAGTTGCTTCTCAAAATGGGAGAAACCAATAAAAACACAAATTCAAAATTTGCATATGACCGCTTCGCCCAATAAACTTTCCTGTCCTTTATTGCAATAGGCTGTAGCATCCTTTTTGCTTACCATGACAAGTTTTGAAAAGGCTTTCTCGGGAATTACTTGGCCTCTTTTCCTAAGGATTGATGACACACAACACACAAAATTGAAGTGGTAATGGTGCCTGGAAATCTTCAGGCTTTGTTAGAATTGCGTGTTACCTATATGATTTATAAATGGTTCCAAAATAAAGAGGGCAGTTCATGATGGATTAGCAAATTTTGACAGAAAAAAACTCTTAAAGTCCATTAACTAACTTCCAATTTTTTTGTCCCCAGATTCCAGATCAAATGTTTTTCCACACTGACTACAGGCCGCTGTGTCGTGATCAACATAACTGGGTCTTAGATGAACAGACTCAGCAGGCTCCTCACCTCATGCCACCACCATTTCTCGTTGATGTAGACGGAAATCCCCATCCACCAAAATATCAGCGTCTTGTACCTGGGCGTGAAAACTGTGCAGACGAGCATTTGGTTCCTCAGTTGGGATATGTTGAAACTAGTAAGAATAGACTGTAAAAAAAATTAAAACATTTGGCAATGATTCTCTAATAATTTAGACTATTCTATGTATTTGGTTTTTGCCTAATTTCATCCTCTTATACGTACTTCTCGCCATTTTCTTTTTTTTGCGTTGTGGTTCTTAATTTTTATTCATTTCCTCAACTACTTCACTGGATCATTTGCAGAAGAGGACCATTAATATTTTATCTTTATTTAAGATGCAATTTTAGCCTTTTCTCCAGTCTTTCTTTTCAGTCTACAAAATAATTCTGGGACCTTTACCTCCACAAACAGAGGACTGGCTATGAAGAATTTATGTGCAAAAGGAATTTGTACATCTCTTTCCTTTCAGGGTTGTTTACTAAAGTAAATTTCAAATTCAAGGTCAAAATAACCAAACTTGAAAATTTTTCATCTGTGGTTTTAGTTTGACTACTCTGGCTTGAAATTTGAAATCCACTCTTAGTTCTCTCTTGTGAATGACCCTGATTGTGTCCGAAATGGAACTATTGAACATTCATTTACATTACCTTTGTCTGTGCTTATGTTACCCTCATATGGAACATCAAACGTTTGTACTTGCTGAATTTAATTCCCTAAATCCAACTGGGTCTGTATCCAGGTCTGGATGATTATCCTAGATTTTTCCTGAAATTTCTGGCAATCGTAGAATGAACGGATTCCAAATTTTTGGTTCTTTCTCAAACGGACATAATAGAAATGTTAATTAGAATGTATTTTCAGTATCCATTTGTTTAATGATTAACAAGAATTTTATACAGGCAAATCACTTACAATAATTTTTTTGCACATCTACTTTCTGACTCGGCTTTTCTTTTCCATTTGAAATTTTGGTTTTAAATTCACTGCAATCCACTGTCTAGTAAGCAGACAACTGTACTGATTGTTTTCATCGCACTTCTCAGGTTAAACGCCATGTGTTGTTCTGTGCAGGTAATGGAGATGTGGTGGAGCAGGTAATCAGCCAGCAAACACACTACTATCAGCAGAACCAAGATGCGAGTGTTCTTGATGGGATGATAAGAGCATTGCAGCGATCACAGGAACAGAGGCCAGGTCTGGAGCAAGAACCTGGTGCTAGAGGGCAACCACAAATGGAGGAAATGCCAAGAAGAGGTATAGTCATTGCAGTTAAACTTGTGCTCCTAACACTTTAGCATTGGCATAAAGACCATATTACATTTACTGCAGCACCTGGTGCCTTTTCATTAATATTTCACACGAATACCTCTGCGGATTTTAATTTTATTGGTGGTGTCCCAATGGGCAGCATCAATGTGTGCTGTCAAATATCTTAACTATATATCAAGTATACTAATCTGCAACCTCTATTTCTGCAATACTTATTTGGAAGCAGATTTCAGTGACATGCTATATGGCTTTAAGATTCGCTAGAATGTTAAAGTAAGCAAATATTATGGTATAAATGTAAACTGCAGAGTATAAACTGACCAGCAAATTGAAAATAAAAAAAAGATTTTCTATGTATCTATTAGAAAACGGTAAAGGAAGAGAAGGAAAGGCGTGCAAGTCAACAGAGCAAGCCCAAGCAGGGTATTCCGAAAGAATATTATCAGATAGGGGGTCAGAATATGTGAGCTCATGCCCTCTGTGTACTATGGCTTTTGAGAGAAAAGGGAATATTTATTTATCCGTAAAACATTTTCTCATGTAATGGCTAATGTAGGCTAAATTACCTTATATATTGACTTACAAGAAGGAAATGTTGGTAAATAAAAATCCCATTAAATGTGTGTATTTGCTTAGAATAAATATTTATTATGTGTTCTTGCATAGCAAGACCACTTAATGTTATCTCTCATAGGAATGAATGGCAAAATGTTCAAAACTAGAGTGGGAGCTGGCAAAAGCTGAAAAATCAGGACATTTCTAAACTGCCATCACTCAAATCTTATATCAAAACGTTCAGCTATCCCTGCTGCCACTAAACATGTCAACGGCTAAGCCATAGTCCTGATCGTTTTCACAATATGACCATTTGTTTGCAACTCACGCCGTCCAATGACATTCATTGAAACTCCACTCAAACTTGAAGGACAATTTCTAAACTGTGACTGGGCCCTCATTTTTAATACTTCAGAGACATACTATGCATCAAAATGTAGGTCTGGGTCTTGTGATTATCACAATATAAAGCTCTTCGCTGTATAGTTTTGATAATACGACTGTTTGAAGATGGCAACCGCCAAAATAGGCTGGAGCAGCAAGTGATGTCCTAGACAGGGCCTTTTGTACACCTGCTAATGTTTTTATAAATGTATGGTTTAATGTAACTGTGAAGCAATTAAATGTGCTATATAAATAAATTTACTCCGCCCACTCCAGTTGTAGACTACTGGTGGAGGCAAGAAATTGTAGCTTTTCTAGTTTATATTGATGTATATTTTTTAACTCATTTTCACACTGTTACTCTAGTTTCTAGAACAACAAAGTTATTAGATTGCTATTAAGTTACATATCTTCGGTTTTCATCTATTTTAACGTATTCTTTCTAGGATTTTTCTCTCCTGCTAATATTGGGCTACGTCGCAGTGGTCAAGTTGAAGGTATTCGACAGATGCACCAGAATTCCCCACGAAGTCAGATTGCAACTGAGCGAGATCTCCTGGCCTGGAAATGTAGGGTGGTGGTGCCACCAATACCCTGCCCAGTTTACATGTATGATGGCTTTTTTTGGGAGGGGGAAAAGTTTGTTGTGAGTTCCATCTAATGTGTTATTTAACAATGCATGTAAAGGGATATATATATATCTTTTTATTTATATATATATATATATATATATATATATATATATATATATATATATATATATATATATATATATATAAAAGCATTTGCAGACTCTGGTATCAACATGCTGTGTGTGATAACACTAATTAGACCTTCAAAAACCACTACACGCCCTGTAGAAGTTATGGTATCAGGATTATCCTGATTCATAGAGAAAGTAGTCAAACAGTTTAATAACTTATCTGGGGTCCACTGCCTGCTAGCCACAGCCTCTAGGAGATTCAGAAGTCTCGTGCAATGAGCTTCTGTAAGATCATTTGAGTTAAGCTCTGCAGTTGCAGGGCTGGCTTATTGAATGCGCGTTATAGCAGGGAGCTTGTGGCTCTCCTGGAGGAGTTGGCCTGTGCCTAGCAGACCCAAACTTTTTAAAAATGGTTTGATTACTTAACCTGGGAAGGTGCCCTGGTTCCGTAACCTAAACACCATGTTATTTTAAAAGGAAGATCCTCTCTGTGCACTCAGACCGACAGCTGCTAGATATTCTCAGACAAATGTAGACATTGCCATTTCTCAGACACGGTAATGTTTTGTCTAGTCCATGTCAATTATACAATCTATGCACCAAAACCACTACATTAAGATATGGTGCTGAGGGTACTGTTAAATGTTTACACAATCTAAGAAACAAACAGACAAAAAGTTTAAATGGTTTGATTGCCCAATGTGTCAAAATCATGGAAGAACAATTATACCATTTATTTTAATTATACAAAGAAGAAGTACTAATCTTAAGATATTTTGCTGGTGTCCCTGCTGCTTATAGGAAACAGGAAGAATTTAGAATTGCCAAGGGAAATGAAGAGAAAATAACCTTTACCAAGCAGAGAAAATATGATTTTCAGGACAAGGTGAGAAGAGTATTAAGACATTTTCCTGAAATGTTTATGCTGACAGAAAAGAATGAATTAAACCTGTTTCCCTCATATTTTACGGTAATGAAATCAGGGATAAATATTTTATGATAGAGCATACCTTTAGGTATAATTGTATACAGTGTCCATTTAAGTTAGGGTTGTTACTTCATGGTAGATGTAAACCAGTGTTAACGTTCCCTAGAAATGTGACGCCCCCTGTCTGAGATATCGTTCTAAGCCACCCAGTCGGATGCAGTCATCCCGCAGAGAAGTGGAAGAGTTTATAGACTTCTCGTGTGAAGAGGGTGAAGAAACTGAACCTTCTTCCGAAAATGAAGCATCTTCGGAGAATGAGAATGAGGAAGAGGAGGCGGCAAGTGTTCATATACAATGTTACCCACTCTTTGCTTGTAAAATGCATGTTGCTTAGGGAGCCTTTAAAAAAAAAAAAAAAAAAAAGCTGCAATTCCTCCCCTTGTAAATTAACTTACTTTGTGTGCACCCTATAAAAACCAGCAATACTTGTTTGTAAGACAGTGATTTTATTAAAGAATAGCCGGATAAGGACTTGTATAATCTTTTACATTCACCAAAACATTTTTATTGAAAACCTGTGCATACATTGCTTTACATGTGTTTTTAAATGAAGGTGACTGCTTGTGTGCTCTTAGTAAAACCGAGCATTTAACTAACTTTGTGTTCAGCTACAATATAAAGAATATTGGGGGATACAGCTGTAAAAAAAAAAAAAAATTACAAAAAAATCCCATCTTAGTGTAACACCGTATTATATGATGCTGCAATGCACAAGTATCAATGCACGCACAAGCTGTTTCGGGGAGGATTTCCAACCCAGGAATCCACAGTTGGTTGTAGAAATTCCAAGATTTTCTCCAGGACACATGGTGAGGGAAGGTGGGGCTGTGTGTATAATACTGTTACTCTGTTATGATCTTTTTACAGCTGCATCCCCAATATTCTGTATTATAGCTGTTCTGTAAGAGGGTATACTCTGGGGGATATATATTTCTTTATCCACACCTAACATTGTAGGTGGGGTTGTGGGTTGTTGCATGTGTGTGCATATAAACACTAACTTTGTGTTCCGTTTTAATGTACTTGTGCAAGTGCACATTTAGGGTGTTTCTGATACCATATGCAGAGTTTGTTACAAACAGTATGGTTGGTTTTAGAGTTTAGTCTGGTGTATGTGAAAGTAGACTAGGTCCGACTCTTCTACAATTATGATATGCCAACACAAAATAGTTATGGCTTTCTATGTATAGAATTGTTTTTCCCCTCCTCTTTTTTAGATGGACCAAGTAGCTGAAGTGTCAAGTGTTCCTGATGACGACGACTGGAGGAGTGAAAATGACACTGGGTAAATGAACTTGAATTTGAAGAATGAGGTGAAAGTGACGCTAGTGATGTAAAATTGTTGGATTGTGCTAAGAAATTAAGATTCTGCTGTTAGAAAAAGTAATGTTACTAAAATGCATGTTGGCGTTCTGCCAAAGATTATTCGATCACAGCTATTAATAGAAGTGTATCAGTGTGTAAATACACTGCTGATGCAGGAAATGATAGTAACTACTTGTTGCGCAGGCGCATACGTGTGTATGTCTGCATATGTTTGTAAACACGAATAGTTTTTGACTATTCTTCTGGAGTTGGGTGACATTTCAATAGCTTATATTTCTATTCTATGTGAAGCCTTACCATGCAGGTTGAGTGCTGGTGGACATAACGTCGGATTTAAACCAAAAGGCCAGTTTCAGTTTTATGTTAGCAGAAATTTTACTTTACTAATATTGTTTCTAACTTTTCTCTGGTATTTTCCATATTGTTGGTTAAAAGGAGATCTGGTTTTGATCTTTCTTTTACTTTGAAAATCGATTCATTTTTAAAGGACCACTCTAGGCACCCAGACCACTTCAGCTTAATGAAGTGGTCTGGGTGCCAGGTCCCTCTAGGGTTAACCCATTTTTTTTTTATAAACATAGCAGTTTCAGAGAAACTGCTATGTTTATAAATGGGTTAATCCATCCTCCAAATCCTCTAGTGGCTGTCTCATTGACAGCCGCTAGAGGCGCTTGCGTGATTCTCACTGTGAAAATCACAGTGAGAACACGCAAGTGTCCATAGGAAAGCATTGTAAATGCTTTCCTATGAGACAGGCTGAATGCGCGCGCAGCTCTTGCCGTGCGTGCGCATTCAGCCGAATGGGAGGATCGGAGGCAGAGAGGAGGAGGAGAGCTCCCCGCCCGGCGCGGGAAAAAAGGTAAGATTAACCCCTTTCCTCTCCCCAGAGCCGGGCGGGAGGGGGTCCCTGAGGGTGGGGGCACCCTCAGGGCACTATAGTGCCAGGAAAACGAGTGTTTTTTCCTGGCACTATAGTGGTCCTTTAAATCCATGAGACTGTTTGTTTGTGCCAGCCTATAACTTTGTTCTAAAGGTGCGCAGGACCTAGCACTTGTGTACCGTGCTCTACGCTCGCTGGATGGTGCTACTAACCTGCAAAATATTGATGTTTAAAATGTGTGAAACCTACAGTCAGTGGCATACAAAGGTTTCTCAGCAACTGCAGCTTTTGACGTGAAAGTGAACATTTGAATTGATCTGTCCAACTTATAGGCCTGGATTAGTGGGAGTCTGAGCGTGGGACTTATTTTTGTATGTTTGATAGGCTTGATAGTCTGCATTATCTGAGGTGCCAGGAGAGCCCCTAAATGTGTCACGTGACTTTAGCAGTATGAGAGAAAGCAGGGGGATGGTTTCCAAAGACTGGTAGCAGTTTAGCTGTAGTAGCTATGGGGTTTATCTTCTATTACTTTATGCAATCTTTAAAGGGATCCTATAGTGCCAGGAAAACAGTTGTTAAACCCCTTCAGCCACTTACCTGAATCCAGCGCCGGTGTCCCTCTGCGCTGGGCCAGGCTCCGCCCATGCTCCTCCCCCACCGGCTGACGTCGCAATGGCTGCGCGCATTAGTGAGGACGTCCAGCGTCGGATAACGGACCAAAAGTCAGTTTGGATTCTGGAAGCCCTCTAGTGGCTGTCTGTTAGACCGCCACAGAGGGCAGACTTAGAGCTGCAATGTAAACATTGCAGTTCTCTGGAACCGCATTGTTTTACATTGCAGCACTGAGTGCTTAAAGGGTCACAGCACCCAGACTACTTCAATTAGCTGAAGTGATCTGGGTGCCTACAGTGTCCCTTTAACTGTAGTGAGATAATCAGGTAGCAGTTTCCTGTTCTAATCCTAAAGGCGGCAGCTCTGTGACCTTTTGGACCTGTAAAGTAAGACAGTATTTAATTTATCTACCATTATAATTTGTGTAAAAAAAAATTCAAACAATTTTATGCTTTAGAAACATGTCATGGAGAATGATTTCAGCATAGCTTATGGAGAATAGTTTATAACAAAGAAGTAAAAGAGGCTAATAAATGGGTTCTATTTACAGTTAAGCATTTTATTTTTTATTACTGCCATGATCACATAGACGATGACACCCTAATGCTTTATCTAATACATTGAATATTTTTCAATCTGACAGCAATTCATCCAGCGATTACTCCGATTGGACAGCAGAAGACCGAGATTACCTCCAATCACCGAGGCCTAGCTCAGTACGGTGCAAGGTGAAGAAGCACACTTCAGCACGGCGCTTGATTAAGAAGCTGTCTAGCAGCTCAGACGAAGAGAGCTCTGCTGATGAGTCATCTTCAGAGACACGGACAGTAAAACAGGACCAGAATGAAGTAAGAAAATTGTATCAACCCTCTGTTTCCTACATAAGGAGTGCAAGCTTTCAGAATATATGGTGTTGCTGTTTAGCTGTGAAAATAAATCCAAAGTTTAGGATTACATACTGGCAAAATGCAACTCTTATACACTTCCTCGATTTTGTTATTTTTGATAACTTTAATTTTCCATTTTAAATGGGTTAAAGTAATTTTGGCCATAACGAGAATACTAAAGTAAAGTAGTTATTAGGATGTTTCTTTAGAAAGGATGTTTGCATATTATAGGCGGCATTCCACATTAATAGTCTGATTACTGATCTTTTTCTGGAATCTCTGTATAATGTATACAGACCCCTATCTACCCATTTTAGTTTGGTTATATTACAAATCCAGCTTTATTGGAGGTTCTAACAGATATTTTGTAATGTTGTATATGACCCATAAGTTAATTCTACCATGTTTTGTTCAGAAAAATAGAATTTTGCCTCCATATGTACTATATATGCCTGATTAAAATCATGGCATGGTTTTCCCTGTCTGTAAGGGTATGGAGCTGGTTAAGTCAATTTTTCTGTGGTTGTAATCAGGGGAAAAAAATATTGTAAGCATTGGAACTATTTCTGTTGCTTATTTTTTTCACCTTGACAAATGATTTTCATATGATCATCAGTGTTCGGTTGTTAATTTTTCTTGAGTGAGACAGTGTCCATTTATTTATTTTAATGTACATTGAAAAAAACGTTTTCTGTGATACCCAAAAGCTTAAGTTTGCCAGTTTTGCTGCCGTGCTATTTACCAAACTCCAAAATTATTGTGCATTAAAAATTAGAATGGCAAAATCTAGTCTCTCCCATAATCACAATTTGGCATTTTGCGCCTGTAATTTACTGTTAACAGTTGCATTTTTCACGATTTGGAGTATAGTTGAATAACTCTGTGAGTATTTAGTTATACAGACATTAACACCAGATGAGAAGATTCTGATTTATTACCTGCATGTTATATATATATATATATATATATATATATATATATACACATATTTTTTTTTTTTTTTTGTGCCACAGGCAGTGGGAGATCCTGTAAGACCACCTATAAACGGAGAGATCTCGGAGTGTCGCCCACCTGTCTGGGTCACAGATACCATGCCCCACAGATCCCCCTTTGTTCCTCAAATGGGAGATGAGGTAAAATCTGCTTTTAATGATTTTTGTTTGTGCAATGATGACACACCTGTTAAATTATTCCAGTGAAACCTCTGTATTTAGAAGTAGCAATGTAGTGTTTGCAAGCACGGAACCTGTAGATCTAATGTGAAAATGACTTGTTTGTGCAGAACATGTTGTAAATAGATTACAGATTAACCAGTTTCTGACAAAAGGTTGTGTGTGTGTTTACTGTAGGGTTTATGATTTTTTGAACCAGCTATTAATAATGGTAGTATAGTGTTAGGGTTATATGTGCTAATGTGTAGTGATTATCCTGTAACAGTTTACAAAGATTTTAAAATACGATCCTGTCAATAACTGTAAATCATGTGTAATTGTTTATGTAATACAGTACATACATGTTAAAGTTTTACTTCATGCTGTTTGGAGTTTATAGCTACAAATGTTGCTTCCTCCGATGATGTACGCACATTTTTCTGCATTCTCTCAAGTGGCCATTTTGGAGGTGCTAAAAATACATCTTTGGGTCATATCGGTTAATCTGCAAATATACAAACTTGTCACAAAGAGAGAACTACACCCATGGGGTCTGGAGCAAAGTATGGCATGAACACATGTTTAAACGTACTCCTGCAGAACTTGCAATAAATTACGGGACAACCATATGCAATGATTTCAGCAGTTCCCAGTGTAGGAGCAGTTCTGATTGGACATGCACAACTTTTAGGCATAAGCGAATCGCTAGTGACACATTGCTCCCCACACTTATTGCCATTTCCTTTTACTAATGCATTTGCTATAACCTGTCAATTGACCCTGCTTATCGTGAACTTTCATGAGATTCTCGTAATAGTAGACGACCATTAATTTCCTCCTCAAACTTTTGAAAACCATGACTTTAATAACCCTATTTCACAGTCACCTTATTTATTCACTTTTCATCCTGTAGGTAATCTACTTTCGTCAAGGCCACGAGGCCTACATTAATGCAGTTACGAGAAATAATCTCCCCATATCAAACGTTCTAAAGGAGCCATGGAAGAAAACAGTGCTGCGGGTAATAAGACTTTGTTTTTGCATAATTTGGCTAGTATGGCATCCAGTATTAAAAGGGAAACTCTAGGCTTTATTTTTCAATTTTTAACTAATTACTTGTATTCAAGCAGGAATAACGTCTTCATGTACCAGGAAGCGATTGAGATTGCTTTATTGCATTGCCAATCTTGGTTCTTTTAATTTTCGTAGAAATAGGTTGTTTTCCTTAAAGATTCTTTGTGTTGCTTTGAAATGTCATTTAGTGTGTAATACATTTCAGATGTACACAAAAATGAATAATCTTACATAAGTTTTGCCGCAAGAAAAAAACATTCTGTTCTAAGAGAATATACAACAAATAGTATCTCTCTCTCGGCATCCATGAATGTCTCTAGAACATCCCAAAGGATTAGGGTTGTTGTGTTTCTCTTGACAGGGCAACACTATAATTTTATTAAGCTTGTTTTCTATTTTTAATTTCCAGGCTTTGTATTAATATGTGACTTTTATTTATTAATTGTCTCTAGGATCAGGAAGTGGTAAAAATTGTTGGTATAAGATATGAAGTTGGCCCTCCTGTTATATGCTGCCTAAAACTGACTGTGATTGACCACGTTAGCGGAAAACTAACAGACCAGTCTTTCTCTCTTAAGTATGTTCTGGGTTCTTATTGTATGGTTTTTTTTGGGAGGGGGAGGGGGTGGTGTGTGAATGTGTGTTTGAGAATGTGTTTCCATAGTAAAAAAATTAGTGGGTCTACATGAATTGAGGTGGATGTTATGGCGAAATTGGGAACCCTACGAGTCAAGGAACACGATGACTTGGGTTGAGGCACTTTGAGGTTAAAGAATTTGTTGAAGTGTAGTGGAATATTGATTAGCAGCAGTAAATAAATACTAGGTAATAGAGTAATCCTGTATAGAAGAGGAAAAACAAAATAGTAAAGTTGTGATGAGCTGACCAAGGCCTGTAAGGAAGTGTGGTGTAGTGTGCATTTGAGCTTAGTCTATTTAAGCACAAACTGCAAGTGTATATAATTCTTGTGTTTGTCAAAGCGTAGTAATAAATCAAAGAAGATTTCATTTCATTCTGAGAGCTGTGCATTTTCAAGAACTCATTTAACAGCATTATGCTTAACATGGTCTCTGAACCAATTGACCAAGGCAGAGTTAATTATTTTTCTTTATATAATAGTCTGTTGAATTTGCTTATTCACCAGGTATCACGACATGCCAGATGTCATAGACTTTCTTGTGCTACGGCAGTTTTATGATCATGCTCGACAAAGACATTGGCAAGCAGGTAAGTCCCTAAAATACCAGACACCAGGGAATGTTTCTCCTTTATACTTTATGAACTTAAATGAACACTATAGTCACCAGAATAACTACACATTAATGTAGTTATTCTGGTGAGTATAATCGTTCCCTGCAGGCATTTTCATGCAAACACTGACTTTTGAGAGAAAAGGCAGTGTTTACATTCACCCTCAGGGACACCTCCAAGTGGCCACTATAGGTGCTTCCTGGCACTGCCGTCCAGCCTCTCCACGTTCTGCATGGAGACTCTGAATTTCCCTCCTAGAGATGAATTGATTCAATGCATCTCTATGAGGAGGTGCTGATTGGCCAATCTACGTTGGGCCCTGCCCCCATCCAGACTCTGTGCCAATTTCAACCAATCCAATGCTTCCCTGTGGAAAAGCACTGGATTGGCTTAAAATCGTAACTTCTGATGTCACCAAGGTGACTTATTCGGGGTGGGACCAGCGCCAGCGGACCCACGCGGCGCTGGAAATAAGGTAAGTTTTAACCCCTTCAAAGAGGTCATGTTTGTGTTCCTTTAAGAATTGTGCTCTCTAGCTAACAGTGCTCAGCTGGTACATGGTCAGTAGTAATTGTATACCCTCCTGATTGTCTACATAGAATACTAGTCTTCTAATCTTATGTTATTTTAATGTTTGTTTTTGTCTTCTTTTACATCTAAACTTGTTAGGGGATAAATTTCGGTCTGTTATCGATGACGCCTGGTGGTTTGGAACAGTTATGTCTCAAGAGCCGCATCAGGCAGATTACCCAGACAGCCTTTTCCAGTGTTATACTGTGAAGTAAGTGTAGGCCTTCATAAACTATTTCAATTCTGCTTTGTGTTAAGTTTTGCATTTCGAGGCTATCTCGAAAAAACCTGCATTTTTAAAAGTTCATTACTTGGAACCAAGCTTTATTAGCCTACCCAAAGAAATCTTGAGCTAAATTGTTACACGTCACTGACTAGTGGAAATTTTCTCTCCTGTGCATATAGCATATTTTAGTAATGCATCACACATAGGTTTAATGTTTAGGATTTTATTGCCACTATTTTACAACATGCTTTGCAAAATAAGGAGATGTTGGATTGTAAGGAAGTCATGTAAAACTTATTTTGTTGTGTAGATTTCTATTCCATGTGCCTCTGATTTAATTAGGACTTCATTGTTTTAACATCTTTTCCATGATTTAAACAGGTGGGATAACACCGAAATTGAAAGGCTCAGTCCCTGGGATATGGATGTTATACCTATTGAAGGTAAGTAGTACCAAAGAAGTAGCAGAATTCTCTGTGTTTGATCATTACGTGTATTTTTTTTGTTCTAACTTCTAAAGTGCTTGAAATAATTTTTTTAGAAATCATAGTTGAGGTTTGATGCACAATGATTCCCTAGTGTAAGGTGCTTCAAACTAGCTTCCCAAAAAACAAACCTCTGACAAAAAGCGACTGAGATTTTTCTTTAGCAGTCCTGCTTATCACATTGATTGCAGAGGGAAGGCTGAACAGCAATATGTGCTATAGTCCTCCGCTGTCAGTGTGAGCTGAACCCGATCTCCGGCCTGTGTGCTAGTAGCTCTGTGAAAATATTTAAATTGGGCCACTTGTGTAGTTCTATTCTTATTTCATATAATTGGTATGATGTAGAGCAGGGGTTCCCAACCCAGTCTTCGAGTACCCCCTAACAGTCCAGGATTTAGGGATTACCCTGTTGTGTCTAAAGTGTAAGGGTAATCCCTAAATCCTGGACTGTTAGGGGGTACTGAGGATTGGGTTGGGAACCACAGATGTGTAGAGTAATGACTAAAAAAAGAATCCAGAAAATGATTTTACCCATCATATTGATAACATTTAATATAGAGGAAATATTGGTATAAAAAAGTGGGAGTTTTCTTTTTCTTATAAAGGCAAATGTTAACTCTAGTTGCCCCTGTGTTTTAAGCCACCTTTTTATTTTTTGCCATTTTATCCGAAATAATTAATTTCATGAGTTGTGTAATGTTCCTTGATCATTTAGTGTTAAATGAAATCTCTCTTTTCAGTGGTTCCCCCTGAAGAACTGGGAGCTAGCATTTCTGTAAGCCCTGATGAGCTGGACAATTTGTTATACAGTCCCCAGGAGGGTGAATGGGGGCCAGAAACTCAACATACTGAATGTGAACGTATTATTTGTGGTATTGATCAACTACTTCGTCTGGGTTAGTAACACAGGAATGGTGAATGTGTATTTAATTTTGTCAGTCTGTTTTTATTGTGGCATTAAGGTTACACAAGACAATTGCAATACTGCAAAGATAAACGACGTTTTAGTTATTAATGTATCTCTTCATAAGTGGTACACAGGCTACAGATTTTGTATTAATCTTTCCAAATAAATGTTCAGACGCCAGATCTTATCTTTACAGAATTCAAATTTAGATTTTTATCTTGTGCTTAGTTGGTAATTAAAGCCTTTTTTCCTTTATTCAGATATGGCCACTCCCTTTGCAGGCCCTGTTGATCTCAACACCTACCCTTCCTATTGCACGGTAGTTGCATATCCCACAGATCTCAGCACAATACGGATGAGGCTTGTAAATCGTTTTTACAGGTTTGTTTGTGTGGTGTTTTTTTGGGGGGGTTTTTTTTGGAGGGAGGGTTGGGGGGGGGGGGGAAGGTTACAATTTGTTGCTACTATTCTGAATAAATATTTTGTATAATTTGACAATAGCAGCCCTATGAAGGCCTGACTGCTACATGATATTACATTAAAGCTAGACTGTCACTTGTGGGTTCCTTCTTTTCATAACTTTCCCAGTGACTTGTCCACTTGCATGTTCCCAGATGTTTGTGATGGGAAAACAATGTATTTCCGTAAATCTCTGCAACTATAATATACCCTGTGCACCTAACATGTGCAAGGTGCATATGTTGCGGTGCTGGAAGATCCTTTGTATCACTACTTACTGTCATTGGAATGCACATTATTTGTGCTAAACAACCAGTAAGCCTGTGGACTGATGGGTGAATGATTAAAATCCCTATCTGTCAAACTAGTGGATGGAGAAATTGTATTTTTGGTTCTTGAAGCCTTGTTATACCAGGTTATGTTGGTGAAGCTTTCTTACCCATAAAACACACTGGATGATGTATTGCAGGAGAGTCTGTGCACTAAAATGGGAAGTAAAATATATTGCGTTAAACGCCAGTACCTTCAATGAACCGGATAGCGCTATTGCGAAGTCTGCAAAGAAGATCACAGAACTCCTGCTGAACTTCATAATGTAAGTCACGAATATAAATGATCTAAGTATCCTTTTAGAAACCACAAACTCTTAAGCTGCCCTTATTCAAAGCACTTAATGCAGGTTGGCAACAGTAATTGTCATTAAGTGCTAAAACAGAAAGAGGAAACTTGAAATGGGAAGATAAGAATTGCATTAAAAACATTTTTTTTGGGGGTGGGGTTGGGTTTACAAGCGTCAAGGCATGTTTATGTAAAATGTTAATTTCTTTGTAGATTTTATTGAAGCTTAAAGTAACATTCCAAGCACCATAATCACTACAGTGTGCTTTGTTAAAGAATATGATGTAGTGGTTATGTTGCAGGAGCCACTTGGAATGTTCCTTTAACCATGAAACAGTTGCTCCTTCTCAGCATTCTATTTTTACATTCTAGGGACAGTAGCTGTACGGATATTAATGACCTGATCAATTCTACGGAAGGGACTGAGCAATGTCGTTCCTGTGACCAGGTATGGAGTCTGATAGAACTGTTTTCTAGAATTTGATCTACTTTTAAACTGTAAGCTTGTGGACAGAACTTTCGAAGTCCAGGTATTTGGTTGAACTCTACTAATTTAATGTACCATTTACTTTCTCTTGGCAGTACAGAATTTTGTTCTCGCCGTATAATTAATTTAATCAGCAAGTACCATTTGGCTCCCTGCACCCTGCTATCTTAATGTTTTACACAGTCAAAAAGCCAAAACTATTCTTAGTTCTATAAATATTTTGCTTTAAACAAAACAAAATTCACTGTAAATTGCATGATGCTTAAATTTTAATTGTCTTTACTGTGATCCCTCACCAAGTCAGCACCACAGATTAAACTTATTTGGGTTAGAATAATCCTCCTTATCCGGTCCCCTCCTCCCAGCGTATTAGATCTTAAGCCATACAAATATACTAAGATGTTATGAGTAAAACCGTAAATGTGGTTATTTAAAATTTCCAAATATACTGACTTTGATTAAACCTCAAATGAACACAATTTATTATACATACAGGGTTATTCACTAACGTGAGAATTCAAAGTGAATGTAAAATTTAAAGGGACACTATAGTCACCTGAACAACTTTAGCTGAATGAAGCAGTTTTGGTGTATAGAACATGCCCCTGCAGCCTCACTGCTCAATCCTCTGCCATTTAGGAGTTAAATCCCTTTGTTTATGAACCCTAGTCACACCTCCCTGCATGTGACTTGCACAGCCTTCCATAAACACTTCCTGTAAAGAGAGCCCTATTTAGGCTTTCTTTATTGCAAGTTCTGTTTAATTAAGATTTTCTTATCCCCTGCTATGTTAATAGCTTGCTAGACTCTGCAAGAGCTTCCTGTATGTGATTACATTTCAATTTAGAGATTGAGATACAATTATTTAAGGTAAATTACATCTGTTTGAAAGTGAAACCAGTTTTTTTTTTCATGCAGGCTCTGTCAGTCATAGCCAGGGGAGGTGTGACTAGTGCTGCATAAACAGAAACAAAGTGATTTAACTCCTAAATGACAGTGAATTGAGCAGTGAAATTGCAGGGGAATGATTTAGACATTGAAACTGCTTTATTTAGCTAAAGTAATTTAGGTGACTATAGTGTTCCTTTAAGCTTAAAGTGGCCAATCTAGAGAGATTCTCGAAGTCGTCTATGCTTTCAATATAGCTATTCTGGTCCTCACTTTAAATTCTTACTCTGGTGAATAGCCCTGATTGTTTACACTGTGAGACGTTCTTTAATGAAAAGTGCTCCCCAAAATTTTCTCTGACAAAAGGGTGCTTTGATTGAACAATGGCACAAAGAAACCACAACTATTTAATAAATTGTGCCTTTCTGAACGATTTGCAGGAAATTAAATGGAAAAATGGAAGTGTTGATCTCCCCCATTGTGTGATCTCACAGACTTAATAACAATTTGAGAGCCTCACAAACCCTCTAGTTGCAGCATCATGCCCCACTATGGGCAAGTTATTTACTGTTACTTTGTAGCAATGGATGTTTAAGTGGTGGTGATGTCTCTTTACAACAAAAGGGAACAGACAAAAGCTTAGAGAAACGAACCAAATGGCAAGGTTTTGAGTTTCTTAAAGCTTTTGCCCGTTCTCCGTTTTCAGTGCATTTGCTTGACAATTGCCAAAGACCATTAACATTTGAGTCATTCATTCAATTATGTGTAACTTAAAAAAACTTTTTTTAAATTTCTATTATTCTTGTTTTACCAGTGTTGAAGGTTCAATATCTGCTTTTAACGTAACAATACAATGTTTTCTGTGTACAGTTTCTGGTTTTACTTATTTGTATCATAGATGGAAAGACCCCATACCCCAGAAAAAACATGGCAAGACCAATGCATGGAGTTAGTGGACCTTATTATAGAGTGTGAAGATTCTGAGCCGTTTAGGGAACCCGTTGACTTGGAACAGTACACGGTAAGGGAATCTTTAGTTGCTGTGCGCACAGACCCCTATACACCATTTAAATGTTGACAAACTGCGGTCTATGATCTGTCATATAATAAGATTTTTAAAAACAAATCTGCAAATTCATGTTTTTCCAGGATTACCAGGACATTGTAACAACCCCAATGGATTTTGGAACCATTAAGAAATCATTGGCTGATGGAAAGTACAGAAATCCTGTGCAGTTGTGTAGTGATATGAGATTGGTTTTCTCAAATGCCAAGATATACACGCCAAATAAACGATCCAGGGTAATTCTCTTTAGCTTTACATGTATACCATGGCTGTTTTATGTTGCCTTTTATTTCTAATTTCTTCAAGGATCAAGATGAATCTTAAGTATTGCCAGAAATAAATGTTGAAACACTGTGTATTTATGGATTCACTATTCTGAAATCTGAACATTATTGAGATTCTCCTAGAGGTACATCAAGTTTCTCTTAAAATAAGGGAGAATCTCTTACATTAATGCCCCCCCCCAAAAAAAAACAACCCAAAAACCTGACAGTGAGGCAATTTATGTGAGTGTACTGGCACCATATCAAACCATTTAGGAAATACTTAACAGGTCTTTTCTCTGCAACCAGGGGTCACTACCACTTGGCCTTATTTATAGTGGGAAATTAACATAAATGTGAATTTTGTTTAGCCTGAGAATTATTGGCTGGCAGCATTGGCTAACCTGACAATCCCCAGCACTAGATCAGAATTCTGGACATTCTAAGGAACATAATCACTACAATGAGATGTACTGGGTATGTTGCTTAAATGATTATTCCAAACACCATGACTACTTCATTGCTTTGAGTCGGTCTTTGAAACATTTTCAGGAAATAGCACTGCACATACAGATATAATTAACTTTTGTTTCCCGAGCTGCAAATCCTCTGTGAACAGCAATATTAGCAGCCTGGAACAAGTTCTGGACTGCTAAATGCTACTTCTCGGCACATACGGCATGTTGGTGACTAACAACGAATCACCACAAGGTCCCTCATTTGGCCTTTCTGTCCTCTGTCCCTTTGCAGCTAAATGTTTGTTTAAAAAAAATAATAAAAAAAAAAAAAAAATAATTTTAAGGAGACACTATAGGCACCAGACCACTTCATCTCATTGAAGTGGTCTGGGTAAAGTGCCCCTGTCTGTTTAACCCTGCAGTGTAAAACACTGCAGTTTCTGTGAAACTGCAAGGTTTACATTGCAGAGTTAACTCCACTTCTAGTGGCTGTCTTCCAGAAATCCAGTAGAGGCAATTTCTGGTCTCTAATGGAGTTTTACACTGTGAAGCAACATTGTGCATCCACATTGACACGTTGCATGAGGGCGTTTACCGTATTCGAATTCTTGATAGGAAAGCAGGCACCAAGGGAGGCTTTCTTCTAAAAGGCAGGTGTAAACAGGATTTTTAACCCTTGGAAACAGGAACACTATAGTGTTAGAATAAAACTCAACAATTCCGAACGCTATAGTTTTCCATTAAAGACAGTAGAAAAACAGATGAACTTACTGCTCTTGTCCTCATGTACATAAAAAAAAGAGCCCATTATTGGAATATCAGAAAAGGAAAAGTGTCAAAAAATATTTATTTATGTTTTAGCTTTTGAGGCATTCTTATTTTTGTAATTATACATCTATATATTTTTCTTACTATTTTCTTAATTTTGGGTCAGAATAAGCCATGTTTTCCTGTATATTGTTTGAATGTATCAGAGCAAAGCTGCCCAGCTAACAGTAAAATTATATGTGCAAAGTTCCTGTGTATAGATTTATTTGTACATTTTTAACTAGCTTCTCTTCTAGCCACTTGTGTTGTGTTTTGTTTAATTTTTTATTTAAAGAATGCATCTTATCGTCCATTAGAAGAATGAAAAAATATGGAGAAAGGATGTGACAGTTATGCTTTGCTCTGTTTATTTAGATATACAGTATGGCTCTCAGGCTTTCGGCACTAGTAGAGGATAAAATGAAAGTCATTATCTCTGCTTACAAACTTTCTCAAGATTCCCCCCAAAAATCTGGAAGTAAATATTGCAACTCCAAGAGACAACGGACAAAACCCATTCTAAAAGGCAGTAGTGCCCCTGGGTAAGTTAAAACAAATGGATTGATACTCCATTTTGCCATTGGGTTTCATGTGCATTCCTGTATTTTTTTGGTGCACCACAAGAACAGCACTTGTTTAGAATGTGTAACCTCTAGGTGCCAAAAGGGTAGATTACCATATGTTCTAGAACTACAATTCCCTTTACATTGGCAAATCATCATAGAAGCTGGGGATCTACCTTTTTGGGCACCCCTGCTCCAGACCATACTCCTAGCACAAAATATTAAATGTGTGTCAGAATATAAGGATGCACAAGATATTGCAAAACCCTGAAAAGGGCAGGCCACCAAATGGGCCAATGAGAAAAAATTCCCATCTATTCCAATGTTCTAAAATTGTGAGACACTCTGAAACAACTATTGTTAACATAAATGACCAACCTTTCCCATGAGGTGTGTATAGCAAAACATTTATTTACTTTCAAATCTTTATTAGCTCAATATTAAAAACAGAAGATTTCATGGATATGGATGAATATTTGCTATAAGAAAGAGTTCATTTTAAGTAATAATACAATATCTATAAAACAGGTAATGAGGATTCTATCTTATATTCAACTCTGTATCCACATGGACTGTTTTGTAACAGAAATAATCTATATCAGAGCTCCTCTCCAACTCCTGTACTAATTAGAATAGTTTGGCCAGATACTTGTTTTCCTATGAAAGAGTTTTGGTTTCACAGTAGCTATAAATTACATTAAAAAAAAAATATGCTGAATTAGCTGGCTTTTAGATACACCACACAGATTAAACTATTGAAACATTTGTTCCCAAAAGGGTCCTGTTGATGGATTTCTATCCAATTAAAAGAATAAACCGTTCAGGTAGCACATCAAAAACCTGCAAACCTCCTCTAAAGGTAGTGTTAAAGTTGAAAGGGTGTAAACAGTCTACGTCTATGTATGATTTCACAAAGCGGTAAGAAGAATTGGACAGTAAGATAGTGAGAACAAAAATGAAATATTCTGATCTATAAAATAAGTGACTGAGCTTTTGTTTTTACAGATTGTTCTGTAATAGAAATAATTAAGAGAATAATCGATGTGGATACAGTTTAATACGAGATGGAATCTTAATTGCCTGTTTAAAGGGACACTATAGTCACTTGAACAACTTTAGTTTAATGAACCAGTTTTGATGTATAGAACATGCCCCTGCAGCCTCACTGCTCAATCCTCTGCCATTTAGGAGTTAAATCCCTTTGTTTATGAACCCTAGTCACACCTCCATGCATGTGACATGCACAGCCTTCCATAAACACTTCCTGTAAAGAGAGCCCTATTTAGGCTTTCTTTATTGCAAGTTCTGTTTTAATTAAGATTTTCTTATCCCCTGCTCAAGAGCCTCCTGTATGTGATTAAAGTTCAATTTAGAGATTGAGATACAATTATTTAAGGTAAATTACATCTGATTGAAGGTGAAACCAGTTTTGTTTTTTCATGCAGGCTCTGTCAATCATAGCCAGGGGAGGTGTGGCTAGGGCTGCATAAACAGAAACAAAGTGATTTAACTCCTAAATGACAGTGAATTGAGCAGTGAAATTGCAGGGGAATGATCTTTACACTAAAACTGCTTTATTTAGCTAAAGTTGTTTTGGTGACTACAGTGTCCCTTTAATTGTTCCATATATAATTATATAGAAGAACACACTTCTCTAAAACTATTCATACTTTGCACTCTTGATTTTATAAATGTGGGGGAGCACTTATTTTGTTAATGTGCATCTCTGTGGTTTATTTGCTTTCGTTCCTTGTTCTTTAATCTAGGATGTCTACTAGTTATCGAGTCATTAATTAAAATAAACTTTTTCTCTTGGCAATTATTCATCCATGGAGCTATCTGTTTTTAATTTTGAGCTAATAATGATTTAACGTAAATTTTGCTTTTCATGCCAAGAATGTTATTTCAGTGTCTTAGAATTTTCTAACACTGGAAAAGATGTGAATTTATTCTTAGTGCCCTTTTTTAGTGGTACTCCTTTTTCATAATTTCTTTAGGGGGTAAGACCTTAAATTCGTATCTAGCCCATCACTTGTGTAGTTATATACTTTGTATTTTATTATCCGGATGGTGTTATTTTCGAAAAACCCTGTTTATTACTTTTACAATACTAAACACAAGCTCCCTCTGTCCCTTTTATAAAGCTGTACCAGAATCCCAAAATAACAAGAACAAGACAGGAACAAGATGACAAAAATGTTATAGATTGCAGCAAAATAACTTGGAGATGTTTGTCTACCTTTCTAGAGATCTGCAGTTTTAGTAGTTTTTCATATTTGTGTTTATGCTGAAATGTTCTAATTTGTCATTTGTATTCCTGTCATCAGACATCTCAAGCAACGAAAGACCCGATCATTGTTGGAGAATGAACCTACTCTTGAGCCTTGTTCATCACAGTCTACCTCAAGTGGCGTAATCCCAGTTTCTGACCAGAGTAACGAGAGTGTCACATCTGGGAGTTTTCGTGGGTCATCGCCTGCTAAAGCTGCTACAATTTCTGCAGAAAGTAGTGTAACAGGTTCAGAGAGTGACTCTGAGCAGAACCGCTCTGATTCAGGTAATCAGATCGTATCGTTTGTACATATTGTACTAAAATAATCACATACACTGTAAACATTAAGGTCCCTTAAAGGAACACCCCAGCATCACAATTTAAAAACTTTTGTAATGCTGAAGTGTTTAAAAGTACCTTCAAAGTAGTGCGGCTGTTTTTTCGCTGTGAAACTGCAGCAGTCATGTTGGGTTGAGAATATTGGTCTATTATATTGAATAAAATCAATATACATAATTTAAAAAAAAAAATCAATGTTTTATAAAGTATTTTTTTTTTTAATCAAAAGTAGAAATTTTACAGATGTAATTTTAAATGCATTTTAGCTAACCTCGACATCATAATTACAATTCGGCCTCATCAGCTAGGTTAAAACGTTTCCCCTGTACAGTGCAATGCCTCTCATGATTAAAATGGCTTACCCATATGAATCTCAGATTCAGGCTGCAGGTCAATTTTAAATCCATGCCACTGCCTTGTGTACGCCTTCACTAATCTATATATTTATAGTTATCCATTTTTTGCCTTGTTTGTATCCAGTGTGTTTGTTAAAGTGACTTTTTATTTTCTTAGAAACTATTAAGGAAAGTAATGTACTTGAAAACTTGTGTTTAGGATTGCTGCATAATCTGCCATTTTGCCAAAAGATGAATAATGTAAAAGTCCTAAAATGGCAAGAGTTTTATTTATTTAAATTGTAGCTATAGCTACAGGGCTGCTGCTTAGTACACATTCTCCAATTCACACACTGTATTCGTAACATGTATCTTAAACTTATTGCTTCCACTAGAAAGAGAATCTGATTTAACATCATCTTCTACCTCGTCCTCCGAACATTCCACGTGCTCGCAGTCTTCTGACAGCTCTGAAACGGAAACCAAAAAAAAGCCAGCATCACGACCTAAGATAAGCCACTTCAAATCCAAGGAATCCAATGCCAGGAAACGGAGATATGCAACTAAAAATCCAGGTGACCCTTTGCTAGTTTATATACATTTGCATAATTAAAAAAAAATGTAGATTGAATGAAAATGTCACATGCATTGTTGAATGTTGCACTGTATCAGTATTTAATAATAGTTTCAGGGTTATTCATTAAACTCCACCTTTTGAGGCAAAAACAGTTTATTTGGGAAAGATTCTCGTATTCAGCTATAGTCACAACTTGTTTATCGATTACTTAGTTTTAACATTTGGATTTTTAGTGAATTGTCCTGTGGGTTCCCCCAGTTCTCTCAGAAATCCATGCATGATATGCTTATTGGTCTTGCAGGATCCTCTATAGACCTACACTGGAATGTGTGTGAGTGCAGCACTAAAAGTGGCAGGGTCCATCTTCATTCTAACCCAGGCTGCCGCATACAAAGCTGGGTTGTCCCCTAAATGGTCATTTCCAAAATAGGAAAGCGCTTCTTTAAAACAACCTAAGAATTATTATTAAAGCCTAGTTTGTTGGTTTCCTTGCCCCCATTCCTCAGGATAGTTAATGAGCATAGTTCTTCTGAATATAATAAATGATTATGAAGGAATTCTGAATGTACTTGGATTCTATGTCCAGACATTCTAATCCTTGATTTCTTTGTGTATGAAATGTAACGATTTGTCTTTCTCTTTGGAATGTAGCGTCTCAGGGAAAAAAGCAGAAGAGAAATCTGCCTAATAAAAGAAAAAACACAAGGTATTCTGATGATTCCATTTCAAGCAGCAAAGCTCGCAAATATAATAAAGAAAGTCAGAAGAAAATACTTCGCAAAAGTGCTGCTGTGGCGGCAAACAAGATAAAATGCATGAGTGATGTTGAAGGCAGTGTTCCCAGTTCAGACAGTGACTACAGCGCAAGCAAAACCAGTAGAACGTTACCCCACCGGACAGCTGCAGCCGAAGCCAAGAAACGGTTAATTGGTGCTTGTGAACTAGAAAATGGTTTAAGGAGTGACAGTGACACTGAAATCCCTTGTCAGAAAAAAACAGATGGTTTCAAAAAATTAGAAAGTATTTCCAATGGAAGCAGCTCAGATAATAGGTCAGAAAGTGACGAAGAACATAGCGTAAGCAAGAAGAACGTGGACCAAAATATGGAGGAGCAGTCTTCATCGGATTCCCCTTGTTTTCTTACACCTACCTCCACTCAACGGAATGTTGTTGACACAGACTCAGGGATGTCCTCCTCAGATGAAGACATCCAGGTAAGTTCTAAAAAAATTAAGCTTAGGAGAAAAAGGTCTGATAAAAGAACAATTGTGAGAACAAGAGAAACCCATCCAACTACCTCTGAAGAATGTCCGGAAAGTCCAAGAAATATAAAGGCACCTTCTAAACCAACTAGAGTTAATCGCCAAAACATATACACAGAATCTGATTCTGAATCGGACATCAAGATCAGGCCTGTTCACAAGAGGCAGACCTCTCGCGTTTCTCCACTCTCTAGTAAAGTAAAAGTATTGTATGATTCAGAAGGCACCTCTGAGTCACAAAATGAACACAACAGTTTTTCAAAAAGTAGTAGTTCTGAGGAGGAAGTAGATAAAATATCTACTAGTTTAGATTCTTCGTCCGATTCCGTGTCTTCCTTTGATGATTCTTCCCAGAGCCTTCATGAAAAAATGAATGGAAAACAGCCTTGTGGTAAGGTATCTAAACAAAAAAGGAAACTGAGACAGTCAAAGACTAGATGTGATTATGAGCGGAAGTGCCTAAATGATGGTAAGTATGAAAGCTCATCAGAGACTAGTTGTGATAATAGCTCAGAGGACATGAACCGGGGAAAGCAAAAAAAACGGTCAGCTGTCATTTGTGATGACTCTGACGAGGACAGTGCGAAGCATAAAAAGAGGTCAAAGACTGTTCATTATGATTCTGAGGTCATGGAAAGCAGAAAGTCCAGTAAGAGATCAAAGAGCAGTGACTCGGAGGACAGTGTGAAGTGCAGGAAGCGTTCCAAGAACAGTCCTGATAATGACTACGAGGACACTGACTGTAGTACACGTAAGAAGTTAACTCGTCGTTCTAAGATATGTACAAGAAACCAAGGTAAGAGGACTGTGAGATACAATGACGAGGACAGCCTTGTGTCAATGGATGAAAATGTGAGGCCGAGGTCTTCCAGACAGAGCTATTCACAGAAGGTTGTGTCCAAGTCAAGAGTGAGTCAGTTCTTTCGCTGAACAAACTACATTGGAGGGCACACTTGGCTACATGCAAAAATTCAGGGAATATTTTAATACATTTCTAAATAATAAAGAAAAAGAAAAAAAAGTACTAAAACAATGAATGTGATTTAAGCCGTGATGTTTTGTCAATTTGCACTTTTGTCTCTAAAGCACAAATGCCAACCTGTGCCTCAAGTCTAATGTCCGAGATTGAGATTATTTTTTGATTTTGTTCTTATGTGCTAGAAATGCCTATTGAACACTAATTTTGCACAGTGTAACTTTGCGTTTACAAGCATCATTTGATGTTGAGAGATTTTGTATGTAGCATTTGTTTTGAAACTTGATCATCAAATTCCTTGATACAGGGGTACGTTAGTGCCACTTACTGCACCAACAGTATTTAACTTTTGTGATAAATATTTTCACTACGAAATTGAAATGCCTTAATTTATACGTGGTTTGCTTGCTTTAGCTAATACAGGTTGGCTTTCAGCTTCCTTTCAAAAGCCTAGAGCCATTTTGATGTCAATAAGAGCACTTTTGTTTTTTCCCCCTAATTTTTGCATAGCAAATTTTTATTTTTTATTTTTTTTTTTTGCTAAGAAAGCATAGTTTACATAAACATGTTAACTGGCGCATTAATTTTTTTATTTTCGTTCAGATTTATGCAGTGCTGTGTAGATGGAAGATTCAAGATTATATGACAAAAACTTACTTTAAATGTTATACTCTTAACACTCTGTATATTTAAGAAAGTTTTTTTTTTGTTTTGTTTTTTGTATTCATTATATTTGATATCGGTTCTTACTCTGTAATCTGCCAAGTCCATTGTGCAAAAAAGCGATGGGATGGGACTAATAAATGAAGGTCTTGCAACCAGGTCAATCAAACCATTTGCCATTTACCCTCGTTTTAAAGGGATCGTGTGAGGTGCTGCTTATGTTATTTAATAAATTAATACACATTTCTTATGTTTTAATAGGCATGTGTGAGTTTTTATTAGGTTTGTTTTTCCATGAATTGATCCTAATACATGAGGCAAATTATTGCACTGCACTGTTTGCAGTCGGCCACACTTCAGTGTGTTGAACCCTGGCAGGTTTTCATAATAAAACTTATTTTTCCCATTGTCAAATTATTTTCTTTCCCAGACTGAAAGTTCTATGCAATATTAAAACAATTATTAAAAACGAAAGCAAGCTGCGTTCTTCTTTTATGGTCAGTAATCGGGACGGAGGGAGGGACGCTAGAAACAGGTTAAAGGAACATTGCAAACACCAGAAATACTACAGCATCAGCTGACCCCGGCCAGGATTAGCTCAGTGCTTCTGGCAGTAAATGAAGTGGTGGTGTGTGCCTGCCTTGAACCCAAATACGATGTTATACTTAAATGGTATGACTAATGTGGGAGGGTGTAAACTAGTCCAGTGTAAGACATTTTCTTAGCTGCATGATTTACTTTTCTGCATTAAAGGGTTAATTTAACCTTTCATTATTCTGCTTTTTTATTTTATAAAACCTAAAATGACCTATTGGGTGTTATGAATTTGTCCCTGCAGGTGAAATGCTGTTAAAAAAAAAAAAAAGGCAAAATAATGAAGGGTTTCAGAGTTTTAACTTACCTGTAATCCAGCGCTGACCTCCCTCCTCGTCCATCTGTCACCTGATGCCATGCGTGCACTCTGGGCTTGTTAGGGGAGGGAGTGGGGTGGACAGCGGAGGGGAATAAAAAAACAAAATTATGGAGAAGTGGAGAGGGCATAATGAATGCAGGGGTGGAGTGGTAATGTAGATTCCCTTTTCCGGCTTGCAAGAGGAGAATCATATTACGTCTGTTGGCAGTGGGCTGTGTGCGCTTTCAGCAGATATATTTTATGCACAGAATTGACATTGTGTGGCCCTGAACAGTTCTAGGCTGCATAAGTCACATGTGTGGAGTATGTAACTATCCCCAAGCACACAAGTAAAATAAATCTGTTTTTAAGCAGAAGCGCAGCATGTACACACTCCTACCACCATAAGCCTCTTCAAGTTACTGAAGTGATTGTGGGGGCTGGAGCAACCCTTTAAAGTTGTCCCAGCTGTGATTGGTAGGGCTTGCTGTAGGTTTGTGAGGCCTCTGCACTTAGTAAGCTGTGGATCTCAAGGACACTACAATCCAAACTGCTACTCTGCTCTGGCTCTCCATGTTTATTATTGTAGAGAAGCTGTGTGGTGTGTCTCGGTTTTGTAACTCTGCATGGCAGGGGCCTTTATTGTGCAATAAGTGTAGTAATACTATTTGCCGTGTCCCTAACACATGAAATACTCAGTGTGAAAATAAAGGCACAGTACTGAGATGGCAAATGAGGGAATTAAAATTCCCATGATTTGCAGACTACCCATGGGCATAGTTGGACCTCATGTGAATTGTACTTGAGAAACGTGGAGGCCTGGCCTTTAAAGAGGTGTTGAACTTGCTTCCTGCAAGGCATCATCATCCCTAAATGCCGGCTGAGCATTTGAATTACACGTTACAATTGCCCATTGCATAAGTCATTGGAACTCACGACCTGATGTTACACAGGTACACACAGTTGTGCACACACAAGACGACTGACACATCCACTAACATTGCAAACACAGAAGCTCTGATAAAATGTGTTAATTAGCTAAAATATATAGAACTTTTAACACATTCACAATGAGTGTACACACACACACAAATCTTCACATGCACATACCAGTTTATTTACAAAGCCCTGTATCGTACCTCTTTGACAATCTTAAATATGTGTAGCGGGGAGAGACAGTGGCTCACATCTATCAGCAGTAAATGAGAGTTTGTAATATTGGGGAGGGGAGGAGAGGATTGCAGACAAGTTTCACAAAGGGAGCCTCGAGGCCTAAGGAATATTCTGGAGGGTGGAATATAATTCTCATTTGTATCTTTACAAAAGAATTGTAAAAATAATTCGCTCAAAATTTTAGTGTTTTTTCCTTAATGTATGTGATTGATAGTGCAAGGGCTGTGCCTGCTTCTAGCCATTATGCCATTTTTGATGTATGTGTAGGGAGTGGTGGTAATGGGAACGACGTCTGAGGGAGATGAAGGGAGAGTGGAACTGTTTGAAGTTTGTGACAGTGGGATCAGTGTAGTAACATTGTTCACCAGAGGGAGACATCAAGAAAGTTCCTTCAGCGGTACTGTGAACTCCGGCCTTGAAGACGTCAAGTCCATCTAACAGTACGGGCTTTTTTTTTTTTCTTTCTTTCATGCAGCTAAAAATATATACAACAATCTTGTCATTGTCACCTAATCCATAGGATCCAAAGGAATGCATCATTCTGAAGCTGTAACAATGTGGTGAAATAAATTTCATTTTTTTTATTTTTAAATCAACACTAAAGCAGTGCCTAACAGTCCTATTTTTAAGACTATCCCTTTAATCCACAAACCGAAAAAAAAATGATTTGTATAATCAAGGTAATAGTAAGATCGCACTGTAATTAATAAGAATATTGGAGCAGCAACGCAAATTCATGTTTCCTCTGGTTGCGAATTATAGTTTTTTTTTTACCAAGAACGGCTTCATTGCTGCTTTAATAAATAATCTATTATACTCTAAATATTGACAGCAGGAATTAACTACTTGTATCTATTTAGAGGACTTTTATTTCTCTAAGCTCTCAATTACAATAAAGGCAATAATTTCTATTATTGTTAAGACCTGCAGTGGTTATGGTGCTGCAGTCTTGCTTCCATCTCCCAACAGCTGAGCTTGAGTGATTATAGCTGCAGCAGGGAGTGGAGGAATAGAATAGATGAAATGCAGTTCCAAGGTGATTCTTCCCAGCAAGTAGAATATCCCCCAAACATGAACCTAGACTTCATGAAGGGTGTAGCAGGAATAGTCTTTATTGAAAACACACAGGCTTTTATGAGCAATCCTCCTGCAAGAGGACCTCTCACAGCAAACAAAAGCAACAGCCAATCATCACACAGATTTACAGTATTACACGCCTCCTCTCTGCCTGGGAGATATTGAGATAAGTTAAGGAATAAACCAATTATCTCCAGGCAGAGAGTACACAATTTCCCCAAAATGTAGAACACCCCTTTCCCCACAAGGTATCCTCACAAATTACATATCCCCTGATAGCCCCGATCTGGGGGACAAACATATCCAAATTTTACCCAGATCGGTTCAGGGGTTCTGAAAAAGTGTGGAGGGTCCTTTTTACCGACCACACACGCAGCTCCTGCCCAAAACAGTTCCATGAATTCAGCGTGTGCGGTCGGTCAATTCACAAAACTGCAAAAAACAAATAAAAGTCCCGAATGGATTCCCCTGGCTCATAGTAGCGATTGCTCCCCTTGTCCGTTCGCACAGAACTACCGAATGAGGCTCTCCTGGCTGTTCGGGAAGTATGAGAAGCCGGCGTTCGGTAGTTTCCAGCGGTAGTTCGTGAGGTCGAGTGTCCAATTTTAGTTCCAGACACTCGACGACAAAGGCCCGCTGGCTCTCCTCGTGCGAACAAGATGGCCGACGTTTTCTTTTCCACGTGGCGTTCGGTTATATGAACAGCGGTCGTCCAGGGAGCACTTAATAGCTAGTCTCTTTGAAGTAAATGAGCCAGGAGGGTGGTCGGCGTTCGGTAGTTTCAAACTACCGAACCAATCCATTCAATATACAAGTATTCACATATAAAAATACTGAATAAAAAAAGGAGAAAATAACAATTATGAAAAACAAAATCTGTGAGGTACCACATGTACGCCATGCGTGTCTGTGATTGACTCGGGGATTATCCGTAGTGATGGTCTACGGTCAGGAACTCTCTTTCTGGTGGGTTAGAAGCAATCTGATACTTTATTTACAGGTAATGAGGTTGAAAGGAGCCCAGAAGACTCACCAGCGTTTTAAAAAAAAAAAAAAAAAAAGTATTGTTCTTTCTGTTTAACTGCAGTGTTTTTTTAAATGTGACATGGCTTAGCACTCTAATAGAAAATCAAGCTTAAATTATCACTCCCGAGTACAAGTAGTATAGCCTGTATCCCGTAGTGGTTACTGTGCTTGGAGTGTTTTTAATAATATAAACTGTTTTAAAATGGATTTTTACCTATTAATTCAGTTTGTCAGTTCTTAGTTAGAAGAACTGCAACTTTCTACATTTAAAAAAAAGATGAAAAAGCAAAATTAAAAGAATTAAAGGGACACTATAGTCAGCTGAACAACTTTAGCTTAATGAAGCAGTTTTGGTGTATAGAACATGCCCCTGCAGCCTCACTGCTCAATCCTCTGCCATTTAGGAGTTAAATCCCTTTGTTTATGAACCCTAGTCACACCTCCCTGCATGTGACTTGCACAGCCTTCCATAAACACTTCCTGTAAAGAGAGCCCTATTTAAGCTTTCTTTATTGCAAGTTCTGTTTAATTAAGATTTTCTTATCCCCTGCTATGTTAATAGTTTGCTAGACCCTGCAAGAGCCTCCTGTATGTGATTAAAGTTCAATTTAGAGTTTGAGATACAATTATTTAAGGTAAATTACATCTGTTTGAAAGTGAAACCATTTTTTTTTCATGCAGGCTCTGCCAATCATAGCCAGGGGAGGTGTGCCTAGGGCTGCATAAACAGAAACAAAGTGATTTATCTCATAAATGACAGTGAATTGAGCAGTGAAATTGCAGGGGGATGATCTATACACGAAAACTGCTTTATTTAGCTTAAGTCATTTAGGTGACTATAGAGTTGCTTTAATAGCTAAACATATTAAAACTTGCACAAATGGTGACCATGTATCAGATTTTATTATTTTTATAGTCTAAATTGAAATTGCAAAATTCAGTCTCCAATAGCCAAGCTGTGCTGGTAGACGTGTTGAAGAATTTTTACAAACCACGTTCTGGCCTACATTTTGTAATGTGTTTCCAGTCCAAAGTTTAGTGAAATAATCCCGTCCTAAATATTTAGATGCAGTCTCTCAGACGTGACATATTCACTAAAGACCCATTTGTTAGGAAAGCAGAGAGAATGCAGTGAGTTTCAAAGGTTAAAGGGTTGTTCAAATTCTTATTACCGCTATAGCCCATTGTAGCGGATATGATGGTAGGAGTTCCTAATTTACAACGGTTTGCGTCTTACCTGGTCCTGCAGGAGCCCCACGATGGCAGTTGAACTCCATCTGGTTTGTGCAGAATTGGCATTAGCAAG